CAGTTGCCCAAACTGTGTCACACTGACTCTCACAACTCAACATTTGGAGTTCAGAGAAAAGAGGCTGGGTGCTGTGGCTCACACCTGTAATCCCAACATTTTGGGAGACCAAGGTGGGAGGACCTCTTTTTCTTTTCTGACCTCCTGGGCTCAAGCAATCCTCCCACCTCAGTCCCACGAGTAGCTGGGACTACAGGCATGCATCACCATGCCTGGCTAATTTTTACATTTTCCTTTGGAGAGATCAGTTCTCCCTATGTTGCCCAGGCTGGCCTCAGACTCCTGGACTCAAGTGATCCTCCTGCCTTGGCCTCCCAAAGCATTGGGATTACAGACGTGAGCCACCACACCCGAACCCTTTCCTTTGTTTCTTCTATTTTGTTCATAAAGCATGTCTCTGTTGATCACTGCATGTATATGTGGAAGGAAGGACAATATGATTTTAAGAAATGTAATATTTAGCATCTTGGCCCCAAGATTCTACAATCCTTTCATGGGAATTTTTTTTTTTTTTTTTTTTTTTGAGATGGTGTCTTGCTCTGTCGCCTAGGCTCCAGGGCAGTGGTGCAATTGTGGCTCAAGCCATCCTCCCACTGCCGCCTCGACCTCCAGGGCTCAAGCTGTCCTCCCACTTCAGCCTCCTGAGTAACTGGGACCACAGGTGTGTGCCACCATGCCTGGATTTTTTTATTTTTATATTTTGTAGAGATGGAGTTGGGATTACAGGTGTGAGCCACTGCACCCAGTGAGGAAGATCTCTTGAGTCTAGGAGTTTGAGACTAGCCTGGGCAACATAGTGAGACCCTACCTCTGCAAAAATTACAAAATGTAGCCGGGTATGGTGGTGTATGCCTGTAGTCCCAGCCACTCGGGAGGCCAAAGTGGGAGGATTGCTTGAGCCCAGGAGTTCGAGGCTGCAGTGAGTTATGATTTTACCACTGCACTCCAACCTGGGTGCAAGACCCTATCTCAAAAAACAAAAATGGAGCTCAAAGAAAAGAGATATCCAGTGAAGGTGAGTAAGTTTAAACAGTAGTCATGCGGGCTCTGGGCCTGAATCTGGTCTTCGAATATGACTGATGGCGCAGCCCTGGGGTGGGCAGCTGGCAGCCGCAAGAGCACAGGGAAGGGGCGAGGCGGGGCAGAGAGGGGTCTTACTGATGGCCGCAGGGGAAGGCGCACGTGAGGAGTGCGCAGAAATAGGGCAGGAGAGGCCTGGACTAGAAAGGCACAGAAAACCCAGGCAGGGGAAGTCAGGCCAAGGCAACAGGGAGATGCCAAAGAGACGTCTGCCTAAGCCTCCGGTGGCAGACGCCATCCTGCAGTTTTACTTCTTGTGGAAATGTGAGAAAGGGAAGGGGCTGCTCTCCTCCTCTCTTAGATCCGTTGCCTATTGGTTTTCATTGGATCTGATCACCAATTTTCCAAAATTTAGCACAGCGGTGATTCCACCAATCCCCTGAACCTGCTGGGCCACTTGGAAGCATGTCTTGCAACAGTGCACAGCTACACCACGACCTGCCCACGGGGCAGCGAGGGAAGCAGCCTCGTGAGCAGGCGTGAGTCTCTGCGGTCTCACGGTGTCCAGATCTGATAATAGCTAATTCCACCAAATATTAGAGGGGGCTCACATTTAATTAAGGAGTGGCCATTTGTATGCTCCAGACTGGAGGTCCCCACTGCCCTGAAGTCAAAAGAAGAGTCCTTCAGGGAATATGCCAATCTTTTCTTATTTCTCTGCTGAGCTCCTGCCCTCTTTGAATGCAATTATGGGAACAAATAAAATGGCTTAACTCAAGTCCCCTGTGGGACAGTCAGCTCTCTGCTGATAAAACCAGTTGTGTGGGCAATCATTAAATGAGAAATCTAATATTTAACTAAATTTAATAGTCTGTTGCTTTGGTGCTTTCCTGTGAAGGGTGGGATTTCAATAGAGAGGAACGAGGTATTCACGTGCAGCCCGTGTAGTCCGTGAGCGATCAGAACGTGGTGTGTTCCCACAGGAAGCCAGAACTCTCAGATCCAGAAACTGGTAATGGTTGTTTGGTGGCCAGCCTGTGTTCCCGTTAGCTCTAGGCCAGCTTGACTCAGAGGGCAGCAGAACAACATTGCTCCCTGAGTTTAACTTTCGCCTTCGTGATCAGCATTTGAGATCGCACAGTGACACCTGAAACATAAAAGTCACATGCGTACGTACGGAGACAAGACCTTTAACCAACTGTGAGAGGGTCTGTCCGCATTTTCTCTCATTTTGAGATTTAGTCATCCAGACAGGCTCTTGCCACCAGCAGACCCCCCAGCTGAAGCCCTTTCTGGGACCCAGAAGCAGAAGCCCATCTCTGTTCTCGTTGGTAGAGGGTCTTTCTACCTTTGCTCCTGCCAATTCCCCTGACCTACGTGGGTTGTCACTTCTATCATTTGACCCACATTTGCACACCCCAAGTTCCTCACCTGTTTTCCACCTGGGATGATCATGTCAGCCGTCAGAGCAGCAAAGATCACAGGTTCTCCAAGGGTTACAGCTGAAGCGTTGAGATGACCTCGTGAGATCCAGGCACTGGTCTCCTCCAATCAGCTGGAGTTTGGAGAGTATGGATGGATTGCCTCATAGTCCCAGAGTCCAGTGAATTAACTTAGGCACATCATTAGTCTTCTAAACGTCAGAAACTTTCCCATCAATGTAATGCAGTTTGCTTTGGGTTCTCGGGTCTGTGCCGTGTGGGAAACACTGGTTGACAGTCCGGCCTCAGTTTTTCCAACTCTTGCCATTCGAGAGGTCTGAGCCTGGGGGAGGCTTTTGCAGCTTCCTGAGACAGGAGGACTTCTCAGTCCTGTTTAGTTTCCTGGGACCACATGGGAACAAGGAGAAAGACTTGGGTGGAAACCCAGACACGTTACCGTCTAAAGATGCTTAATTTCCAAGATATGAATTTATTTTCCACAAACCCATCTACCCAGGGTACTCAAAACTAGTGCATTTTGTCCCTGGGATGGGACTGAACACGGATACCTTGGCAGGGGTTAGGGAGAAGGATTTGCAGCCAGGAAAATGACCTAAACTTTCATTTTGACGGGTGCCTGAGATAGGGTGGTCAGGCCTCCCTTGGAGGAGGTGACGCCTGTGTTGATGGAGGAGAAGGAGCTAGCAAGGAAGATTTCAAACACAGGGCAGCATGCGCAAAGGCCCTGGGGCAGCAAAGAGCTTGGGAAATGCTGTTCTCTTCATTACCCAGCTGTGCTCCCTGCTAGTCTTCCTTTCCTGTAACTGTGAATAGAACATGAAGGATATGCAGTCACTGTCTCATAAACCAACTCCTCTCACCTAAGCGTGTGCCTGGAGCATTGCATTAAGGGCTGAAGGCATTTGGACTCAATGAGTCCAACACCAGTCAACACCAATGAGTGCTGCCCCCAATCCATTAGGAACGTGGGCTGAGGCTGTGAAGCTGGCACGGGGGCATGCAGGCCTTGGCATGGAGTGCGCTCCCCTAACTCACGTGCATGACTGTGAGGGAGAGCACGCCACCTCTGCAGCCAGGTCTCTGGGTCTCAGAGTTAAGGTCAAGTCTACTTGGGCTTCCCTCGGACTTCACCACTGCAGACAGCCCTTGCAGACACAGCTGTGTTTCCTGCTGTCTGCAAGGGACACTTTTCTTGCGTGCTACATGGTGTTCGGAATCTTTCCCAGTGGTGGTCTAATGTCAGATTTGTTAAAACCCTACCTGTTTGAAAACAAGTGTCACCATTCTCCCCTTATTTTTTAATCAAAGCTAAATATTCAAACATGTGTCCAGCAACTCACAAGTCATTTTCATTTTATTTACCCCTCACAAGCATTGGGAGTTTCCATATCCCTCTGTTCCTCTACAGAAGGTTGCCAGGCCTGCTGGGCACAGTTCTTGAATAAAGCCACAGCCCCATGTTCTCCACACTAAGCCACACGTCCAGAGTCTCCTAGCGATGGGCAGTCATTTGACCTCCAGCTGCCCCGGAGAAGCGCCCACCTGCAGAGCTCCAGAGCAGCATTTTTTTTCTTTCCAAGGGAGTTACACGGGAGGGTGATTGGACATCCATTCTAGCATTGTTTGTGATCATTCGTTTACTCTAAACAAATGCACAAATTACAGCTGCTTCAAAGTGATCTGACGAGCCAAAGGCAAAGCTCCTTGCAGAAAAATTCCCTTTCACAGTGAAGCACAAGTTGTCCCCATGTGTAGGCTTAGTGTGAGAAGGGAGAAAGGAAGTTGGGTGGTTTTGATGACACATCAGACGACGAAATGAAGTAGAATGGCCATTTCAGTAGATGAACAGAGTGGGCTCCTCAGGGGACTTCTTTGCATTTGAAGAAATAGATGATAACGAGGACGTGTGTGCGCTGTCGCAGCCTGAGGCACAGAGGTCCAGTGCATCCATGCTGCAGTGCGGAACTGACCTTGGTCTCTACCATGGAGGGAGGACAGCCAGTCCCACCACAGTGTGGAGTGAGGCTCACACGACTCCACTGTCCACAAATACAGTCATCGAAGTTAAGGTCTGTCCAGAGACCACCTTATCTTGTTTTAGGAGAAAGATCAGAATCCATTTTATTTCTGGGAACACTTAATGTTCCTTTCCTTTTCTAGTTATTATGGCCACAATTTTTGGAAAACCGTTTGTCCTCACAGATGTGTGATATAGGTTTTCCTAAAACCAGCAGTCATGGGGAGAATCATACCAAAACCTGTGCGTGTGACACCACGGAGAACAAAAACCTCTGGTGGGAGAAGGAGAGAGCCTAGGACAGTGGGGAGAATCTTTCATCCGCCCCAATCCCAGATTTGAGACTAGGCTTTTGAGTGCGTAACTTGAGCCCAGTTTCTTGGTCTGTATACTAGAAATAATAACCACCACCTCTGAGGCTGATGAAAGTAGCAGTCTACGCACGTGAAAAGCCACGGCCCACAGAGGTCCTCCGTGAGTGACCCTTGCATCTCAGCATGTCCCTGTTTCCTGTCTTTCAGAAATGTTTGACCTAGAAACAAATGAACATGTCAAGAAGGCCATAAATGACCGACAGATGCCTAAAGTGGAATACAGGAACATCGAGATTGATGATTATAGTAAGTACTACGTTTTTCCCCTTTAAAAAGAATGAAAAAGAGAAAGAAAACATGGGCTCGGACACAGTGCAGTCATCAGCAGCAGGCACCATGCACAGAAGGCTCCCTGAGCACGGGGGTGTATCTGCCCTGCAGCTCCTCTGGCATGGAGCGTCTTGTGTTCAGAACCAAGATGCTCACTCTGGTGACAAAATGAAAAAAAAGCAGGGCACAGGATCTCTCTCCCTGAGAGGCTGACAGTTGCTTCAAAGCAAGATCGCAGACTCCAACGCTGTCCTTCTTTGGTGACCGTGTCAAGACACCGTCCAGAGAAACCTCTTCCCTCTGGAAATTCCCTTTCTGTGCCATCTGAAGTCCTTCCTGCCTCATCAGCTGGTGGAGGGTGGGCTGATGAGGGGTGTCCTTGCAGCCGGAGTTTACGTGAGGAGGTTTGAGTGCTGTTACCTCCTAGGAAACGCCTCTCACTCTGCCTTTCTGTGCCTGTGTCCTTCTTTCCTTGAACTGTCCCCCCAGTCATTCGTTAAGTTCTCCTGGGCACTAACTCTGTGCCCCACAGCATTAGCTGGACCTGGACTCACAGCTCCAGAAGGGAGGCAGAGCCTGGGAGCCTCAACTCCCACCTGTGCGCAGCTGGCTCCCAAGTCATCCCGGCTGGCCCAGTGTCCTAACTGCCCACCAGGTTGTTACTCTTGGAAACCCCAAGTGTAAAATTCCCACAGCAGATTTCACTGTCTTCCCCCAGAACTCTGTCCCCCCTCCAGACTTCCCCACATCTCTGCATAGCAGCCTTTTGGTGGTAGGTTGGCGTCAAATAACAGACTTCAAACCTTGAAATGGAGACACCGCTTGCCCATCACCTCCGAGGCTGAAAACAGGTTTCCCTCCTGTGCGAACTCTGACTGCCTGATAGTAACTGCAGGAGCGCTTTGTTGAAAGAGAAGGTTTCCAGGGCTCTGGGGGAAAGTGTGTTGAGGCTGATAAGTAACACGGAGCTGAAAGGGCAGCGGGGAGGAGCCACACACCTTGCCTTTGCCATCCCCAGACTCTCTGGAACCTCTTTGTCTGCCCTTCCCCGACACTAGACAGTGGCGTGTCGCCTGGGGCCTGGCATCTTCGCTGGCAGCCCCCTTGTGCTCAGCAGCTTAGAGGAGACACAACCACCTAACAGACTCAGCTCCGAAGAGCAGGAACCAAGGCTCACCCCATGAAACAAAAACAGGTCCCCTAAACAGTACGTGCTGCAAAGCTGCGTTGCGTAGAGCAGAAAGCAAACAGCACGAGAGTTCAGAGAAGAGCCTGAGACTGGGCTGGGGACGTGTTGGGAATGCTCACAGAATGTGGGACTTGAACATGGTCCCTGGAGTCAACCTCGGGTGGGCTCACAAGAGGCGAGAATGCAATCCAGAGAAGAGGGCAACATGAGGGGCTTAGGGGCTTAGGCAAGAGCAAGTGCAGTTCACTGTGGCTGGGTCTGGAGGCTGCCCTGGAGTCCCAGCCTGCAGGACAGCCCAGGTGTGGACCCTACACAGGGACCCTCGCTCCCCCGTGCTCGCCACGCCCTCCCTGCAGCCCACCACAGGCCCGGGCCAAAAAATCCTGCCCCTGCCATTTGGCCGTAGGAAGCTGTGCTCTATCAGAACTTTTCCAGACATTGCGTTCATCTCTGAAAGTCAGAACATTCTGGAATTTTAATGCACTTCAAATCCGCTCCCGCCCCCAACACACTTACATGTCCGGAGGCTCTCTCTCTTAAAATACCCTGAAGGTGACCACGCCACGGAAGGGGGCATGAAGGAAATGAGTAGGGAACGGTCTAGAAGAAAGAGAATAATTTTGTATGTGTCTGTGTGTGAGACAGAGCTTCACTCTGTCCCCCAGGCTAGAGTGCAGTGGTATAATCTTGGGTTACTGTAGCCTTGACCTCCCAAGCTCAAGTGATCCTCCCACCTCAGCCTCCTGAGTAGCTGGGACCACAGGCAGGCCACTATGCCCAACTAATTCTTTCTTTTTTTTTTTCTTTTTTTTTTTAGTAGAGACAGGGTCTATTGCCCAGACTGGTCTTGAACTACTGGGCTCAAGCAATCCTGCCTCAGTCCCCCCAAAGTCCCAAGATTACAGGTGTCAGCCATCATGCCCAGCCTAGAGGAGGAAGAAGAGAAACTCAAGAAAACTATAAACAAAGGTCGGGCACGGTGGCTTATGCCTGTATTCCCATTACTTTGGGAAGCCGAGGAGGGCAGATCACTTGAGGTCAGGCGTTCAAGACAAGCCTGGCCAACGTGGTAAAACCCCATCTCTACAAAAAAATACAAAAATTAGCCAGGCGTGATGGCATGTGCTTGTAATCCCATTTACTTGGGAGGCTGAGGCACAAGAATCACTTGAACCTGGAAGGCAGAGGTTGCAGTGAGCCGAGATCGCACCACTGCACTCCAACCTTGGCAACAGAGTGAGACTCTCTCTCAAAAAACAAAAAACAAACAAACAAACAAAAAATGGATGCTGTGACAATCTGCTTTGGCCAAGAAATGTGTGTACTGACCAACATGCTGAAACTCTGTCTCTACTGAAAATACAAAAGTTAGCTGGGTGTGGTGGTGCACACTGTAATCCCAGCTATTGGGGAGGCTGAGGCAGGAGAATCACTTGAACCCAGGAGGTGGAGGTTGCAGTGAGCTGAGATCGCACCACTGTACTCCAGCGTGGGTGACAGAATGAGACTCCATCTCAAAAAAAAAAAAAAAAAAGAAGAACTGTGTGTAGATTATCCCAGCCCAGTGGAGAGACCATCGTTGCCCCGGCGTGTCTCTGAAGCTCCTCTGTTCTGCCTCCTCAGCAGCCTTGGCAGCCAGGCCGTCACCCTGGCAAGATTCCTTTTTGAGCTCCTTAGACCTGGCCTCCCCCTCCAGCCCCCTCTAACCACCGCTGTCCCAGTAACGCTTCCCAAGCCTACAGCACTGGTGTGTGACTGTCATCCCTTCCTCTTAGGAAATGCAGAAAAGACCTTTCGAAGCACAAAGCCAGCTTCCCCACCCTTGCCACACACTCTGTCCTGCAGGGGGTTTCCTTGAAAGGTAGGTGGGTACAGATGCCAGGAGAGGATGTGGGGCGCCTGTATGAGCCCGGCAACAGGAAGACCGCCTTAGGGATCGCAGGAAATCTGAAAGATGTCAGCCCTACCGACCTGGCTTGGTTTTGTTTTTTCATTTTGTGCTACCAGAGGCTAATGCTTTTCTTTTCTTTTTTTTTTTTTTTTCTTTTAGAAAAGTAGGACATCTTCCAGAACGGTTCCCCTGAAATGTTTTCAGCCAGTCAGAACCCGGTTTCCAAGGTCTGCCCTTGGGCTTATCAGTGGCAGGGAGCAGCCCAGACCATGTTTTATGGAATTTAAATGATGAAGTCCAAGGCCTGCCTCTCCGCTAGTCCCTGGGCCATTGAGCCAATTTGCAAGCCATTAACATTCAGCCCGAATCAGTCAGGAGACGCCAGGTCAGAGCTGGCTGCCTAGCCAGCCTCCCAAGCCTGCAGTGTATCTGTGTAGTAATTGTATTGAAAAGCCGCTAATTCCAATTTAATTGCTGGGCCTTTGGTAATCTGGGTCGTAGTTAACGTCAATAAATAAATTCCAACTTGGATGGGAAGGTTTGTTGGGAGGTGGGGGGTGGTGCAGAAGAAATTGGTGAGGCAGGTTTTTGAGGTTTGGTTCCTACCCAGTCTCCCTCACCCACTGGATTTCACGCTGCTGAGAACCAGATCCAGTGACCTTGGTAGCCGCAGGATCCAGTGGGCTGTACCATCCTTCCCTGGCGTCCTCTAGCTGTGGCTGCAGCAGAGCTACAGAGCCACCCAGCACAAACCTACCAACAGCAAGACCCGCAGAGCCACCTGGCTCTGCACAGAGGCACTGCCATGGGCCGGCACCCTCTCCCCTCTAGGCGGCCCCCTGTTTCATCCCAGACTCCGTCTCTTCCCCTCCCTGCCTCCCTGCTCCCAAATATCCATCCCCAGCATCCCCGATCAGATGCTGAGAGATGCTTTGTTGCTGCAGGCAGCCTGCCCCCTCTCAGGGCACCATATTTCCCTGCCTGAAATTCTGCTGCTGGCAAGCGCCCAGGCCACTGAGTCTTCTGTGCATTCAGTGTGCTCCCATATGCAAGACTGAATGGAAGCTTCAGAGAAATTAAGCTTCACACAGGTTGGGTGACTTGCCCAAGGCCGCACAGCAGGCCAGAGTCCTCAGGATGAAACCCTGGGCCAGTCTCTGTCCTGTGGGCTTCCCCTCAGGCCCGATCCAGAGCACCCTCACCCCCATGGTCACCCAAGGGCATGCCCGATACCCCATGGCCAGCGTTGCCCCCCTAACCCATGCTGTGCTCTGCTTCTCCCCAGACCTGCCCATGCAGATCCTGAAGCCAGCAACCTTCACCGACACCACCCACTACCCTCTACTCCTGGTGGTGTAAGTATCGTCACGTCTGTCTTTCCCTGGTGCTCGCTCTGGGGCTCCGTGACCCCTGTGATAAATGAATATTGAACTCTTAGGAAAAGATAAGCAGGAGAAACGATATGGTTGCAAACTGAAAACATAAGATCGTTTAGCCCAATGTCAGGTTCTTTAGGACTCGTGGAGACACCCAGAGGTTAAAAGAAAGTGGGTGCTATGTACCCACCGCCTCTCCCCAGGCTGCCTCAGGTTCTGTGACTATAAAGGGAGGCTGCTGGGATCATCATAGTGGCATCTTGCATGACAGGCTCACCGGAGGCAGGCAGGGGACAGGTCCCAAGACACAGAGACACAAGATGGCCGGAGCCTGGGACCTGCACCCTGAGCCCGTGGGTCTCACTGGCTGGCATTTCTGGCCACTGCCCTGAATGCTCTTTCTTCGCCAGCAAAGAATTTTTTCAGCTCTTGTGTTCATTAATGAAGCCTCCGGTTTGGGTTTTGAGAACAATTTTTTGTGCTCTGTAAATGCGTTGAAGATGTTGGGTCTGATTAGGGAACTCAGTGCTAGGAGCCAGCCCAGTGCCCTGTGCATAGGTTCAAATGCTGCCTGACAGCCCTGAGTCGAGGTGATGCCCACGTGCTCACACCACACGGGGAGGCAGCGCAGAGGGGGCCGCCCGGACCATTGAGCAAACGCCCCAGTGCACCTCCTGGTCTGTCTTCTCAAGACCATGGAGCAGGAGAAACTCCCGCAGCCCTTGTAGCCTGGGAGAGCCGGTGGAAGCAGAGGCCTGTGCCAGGCTGTGTTAGGGATGCCAGTGCAGCGACCCCCTGAGTAAACGCCGGAACCTGATGGAGCTGATTAACCCTGGTGTCTTGCCCGGCTCCCTTCCTGAGGGCTGAGTCCCTAAATAGCAAAAAGGTTCCATTATAGAAACGCCCCAGGGCACAGATTCCAATAGCTGATTCCGTTTTGCAATTAACCCACTTTCCTTAATATCTGGACTGCTTTCACACTTTCCCAGCAGCCACGCATGCACACCCACATGCAGACACACGCACCCACACACAGGCACACGCACATGCACACACACCCACATGTGCACACACGCATGCACACCCACACGCACACATGCACCTGCATACATAAGCACATACATATGCACACCCACATGCACACATAGGCCCACATACACCTGCACGCACACACACCCACACACAGGCACACGCACATGCCCACACATACCCACATGTGCACACACGCACACACACACAGACACACGCACATGTACACACATACCCGCATGTGCACACACGCACACACACACGTACCTGCATAAGAACACACATATGCACACCCACATGCACACATACACCGACATACACACACATGCACACACATACACGTGCACACGTAGCCACATGCAGCACACACGTGCACACCAATATGCACACGTATGTGTATACACACATGCACACACGTACACATCTATACACACCCACACTCCCACACATCCACACCCCACCCCCCCACAGACACGTACCCACCCACCCCACACACGTGGGGTGAATCCAGATTTCCCCCACTTTCTCCAGGATGCTAACAACTTCCGAACCAGCTTTCTTCCCCTGCCCACTGGTTTCTTCAGTGATCTTAAAGGAAATCCCCAAAAGCTTTTCAGTTTACAAAACGATTCACTTTCCCTTCAGAGGTAAAAGTGGTTGTGCCAGGTGGAGACAGCTGAGCTCTGCTGAGCTGGGACAGGGCCAGGCAACCCCACCCGCTGGGCGCACACTCACTCTGGCCTCGCAAGCTTTCCTTGGAGGCTGTGTCTTTTTGTTTGTTTCTCACTGTGACATCAAATGTGATAACAAGGAGATCTGGAGTCCCTGAGCCCCTGCTTCAAATTACAAAACCCAAAAGAAAACAAACACACCCTCAACATAGAGCAGCGCCATGACTGACCAGGACCCTAAGCATGCAGCACTCTAGCGCGCCACTCCTGGCCCGCTCCTCCTGCCGCCCCCCGCACCCGACTCCTCAGTCCTTGGCGGACAGCTGGGACAGTGCCAGTAGTCGGAGCCGTCACCTGGCTGGATCCACTCGCAGGAGGGGCACTGCTCCCTGTTGCTGTTCCAGGGAGGCAGGCTGGGCCTGGGGCTGGCTTTCTCTCCTGTGCATGCTTTTCCCAGCAAGAGGGAAAATCACCTAAAAACCTCCCCACACCCATGAGTATGCTGGTCAATGAGGAACAACTAGTCCTGCGTAGAAAATGGCCCTGTTCCCAGCCTGGACAACATAGCAAGACCCCATCTCTACAGAGTAACAGATTTTTCTTTTAATTAGCCAGACAAGGTGGCACATGCCCGCGGTCTCAGCTATTTGGAAGGCAAAAGTGGGAGGATTTCTTGAGCTCCAGAGGTCAAGGCTGCAGTGAACCAAGATTGTGCCACTACACTCCAGCCTGGCCAACAGAGTGGGACCCTGTCTCAAACCAAAATAAAAAAAGAAAGAGAGAAGGAAGGAAGGAGAGAAGGGAGGGAGGGAACAGCCCTGTTTGAGGAAAAAGAAAGCAGCCCTGTTTGTGGCGCTGGTCAAATCCCATGGTCCAAATGTCCCACCATGGATGCCTTTCAGCCAGCAGCGCCGGGCTAGCAAATGAGGATCTGGGAGGAGAGCACAGTGGGAGCTGCCAGCCCAGGTCAGAGGCCACACTGCCCAGGGCCAATGGCTCTCAACTCCCGAGGAGAGGGAGGGAGAAAGGCAACCCATATGGCGGGTTTGCTGTTACTTTGAAATTAACAAGAGACAGACCACGTCTTCAAGCCAGGGATGTGGCTAGAGTCAGCACAGCCTTGTCACTTGTGATGGGTACTGAGGGGCACAGCCTGGGGCATCTAGAACCCAGGAAAGAGAAACCGTCTTGCAGTGTAGGGAAAGCCCCGCAAAGGGAGAAGTTGGGAGGATTTTTATTGTTTCCCTCACCAAATAGATGCCCTTTGGTGGCTGTCCCTCCCAGTACCGGTGTGTTTAGGGATGGCCCTGGGAGCCCCAGGCTCTTGGAGGTCTCCTCTTCCTCCTTGCCTTATGGGGTATGGATAACACCTGGCTCACCTGCCCAGGGCAGCAGAATCTGGGGTATAGAGTTGAGCGTGTGGCAGCCGGGTCACGGGTAAAATCCCTTACGGGGGTCATCTGATGTGGCAGCTGCTAAACCAGCCGCCACCCACCACACAGCAGGCCTGCTGAGCCCGGGACTCTCTTTCCAGGGATGGCACCCCAGGGAGCCAGAGCGTGTCTGAGAAGTTCGAGGTGAGCTGGGAGACGGTGATGGTGAGCAGCCACGGCGCGGTGGTGGTAAAGTGTGACGGCCGCGGCAGCGGCTTCCAAGGGACCAAGCTCCTGCACGAAGTGAGGCGGCGGCTAGGCTTGCTGGAGGAGAAGGACCAGATGGAGGCCGTGCGGTGAGCACCCGCCCGGGAAGCAGGAGAGGCCGGAAGGGGACAGGGCTCCTCATGGGGGCTGTGCTGCAGTCATAGTGTGGGAATGCTTTTTGCATGCAATTTGCTCTTACCTAAAAACTCTTGGCCATTCCAAAGCAAGTTTCAAAGGAAACTGTTAGGAATCTTCTCCTAGCGACATTTATAACTAGTTTTCCCACTGCAGGGTAGATTATTGAGTTGACTAAAACAAGGGTCTAGAAATTGCCAGTTTGGTCTGCTTGGCTTTTCTGCACTGTAGTCACTGACCTGGGTCAGTGTCCATGCATGTCTTTGCCATTTATCCCAAGAGGAGGAGAGAAGAGATCAGGAAGGAAGGACAGAAAAAGGGAAGGAATATGAATGGGGCTGGATCCATGGAATGGGTCACCCTCATTACTGAGAGCAGGACCTCCATGCACATCCGGGTGGGGCCAGAATGCCCGCCCCAGCTCTGAGGAAGGGCAGGCTTTTGTTCTGTCATTCCTGTGCATCCCTATCACTTAACTCAGCAAGAGCAACCGACATCACAGAAAACAAAAAAAGGCTTAGCACCAAGGGGCAGATGCTCCAAATGACTTATTGAATCTTGTTGTTGCACTGGAACTAAGAAAACACATCAAGACACTGTGCTAGGCTGCAGCTGGCCTTCAGGCTCATTTTATAGAAGAGTTTTCACAGTCTGATGGCACAGAGGACTACAGCACTTACTCTAACTTCACCCCTTAGAGATGCTGCAGGAACAACTCAACGGACTGTGGACTCGGGTTCTGGGAATGACAAGAAGGCAGGGAGAAGCGCATCTACCGGGAACCCTCGCCGTGACCATGATCAGCACCGTCATGGGCAGGGGAGTGTGAGGCTGGGCCCGGGCACAGGAGGCGGGTGGAGCACAGAGCCCAGCTCAGTACACGCTTATTGCCTGGAGGATGATAGGAAACCTGGCATCTCTGTACCTGTTATACCAGGGTGCTTTGTGGTTTGAAAATTTTTACTTAGCTGACTTTCAAAACATTTCTTCTCATTTTGAAAAAGATTGATGGCCCCTGGCATGTACTCAGTAAATGGTCTTTCAGTGGAAAACAGTGAGTGTGTGAATGAATGGACCCCTCCAGGGAGCTATGAGCTAGGTGATGGCAGACAAAGCAATTGCTTCAGAAACCCCTGTTGCAGGTGGGAAATACAGAGCAGGCAAGCAGTCAGGACTCAGATACTCAGGGAAGGAGTGTCTGCCAGGATGCCTTTGCCTGGAAGTCAATGACTACAACAACACATGTGTGCTTACGCGCGTGCACACACACACCCCTCAAATAAGGAACTATATTGGCTATGAAAGACATAGGGATGCCAGGCCTCAGGGTTGATGAATCCAGACACCAACAATGTCACCGAAGACCCAGGCTCTCTCCGTCTCTCCGCCCAACCAGCCATGATGGCCTCATCCTAAGCCAAGCCCCCAGCTCATGGATGGCCCTCAGTAGCACCTGGCTCCATGCTTCTTCATCTACCTCCAGCAGGTTGGGGAGGGAACAGTTTTGGAAACTTCCAGAAAGGAAGGAAAGTCTCCCTAGAAGCAGACAGCAAACCTCTCCTTCCATCTCCCGGCCCTCCCCTGCCCATTCCAGAATGGACCACGAGTGAGAGAGGTGCAGGCAACTCCCCAGAGACCAAGTGGGTCCACCTGACACCAGTGTGGGGCCAGCTCCTGAGCAGAGGACGTGGGGTGACAAGGGCACGCTGGGGTTCAGTGTGGAAGGAGGATGGGCGGGTGACTGCTGGGTCCGCAGTCGGCAGTGCCAGCCACAGAGGACTCCCAGGACACGGAAGCCAGCCCAGGCTGTGCTCTGGAGTGGAGTGGGCCTGGCTTCCTGGGTAGGGTCTCGAGGGCTCTCCTGGCTTCCCGGACCTCCTCCTTTGGGCCTTTTCCATTTGTGCGTGGCTTCCCCTGCCATCTCCTGCTCTTTCCTCTCCCCGCCTGCTCTACCTCCTCCCAGGGAGGTATGGAAGCCCGGGGCCTCTCCGCCATCAAGGGCAGGCCCAGGGGAAGGTCGCAGCACCCTCAGGCTCCCCTTCGACACTTGGCGCTGCCTGGCATCTTCCCCGAAGAGCAAAGGAATTAGAGGGCAAAGGTGTTTCACACACATCGTGCCCTAAAAGGAAGGAATGGGCTCAAGCATCTGCTCCAAAACAAGGCAGAACCTGTCGCAGAAAAAGAGCCAACAATGCCAGCTCCTAAACCACCAACGCTCAAGAATGGGAGCACGTGGACAACGGCAAATCTTAGAGCCGCTGCCAAAGCGCAGACTTTCCTAGGAAGCTGATGCCCAACAGCGCTAAGCCACAGAAAGCCTCCCTCGGCTCTCCTTAGGAATGAGGTCTGCATTTTCATTCATCAGAAGGAAACAGCCCAATTTTATCAGAAGGCTAAAATCATGAGGCTGACGCCTTAGCCTGACTCCTCCCCCTCCCACAGTTCCCCCGTCTGCCGCCACCATATCCTCACCGAGGAGCCCACAGGGCCAGCCTCCCACAAGCAGCTGAGATGAGCTGTGGCAGGGAGCTCGCCCCACCCCTGTGGACGGTGGGGGGCAGCTGTGTAAACCCCCGACTGGGTCCAGTGGGCTCCTGTCTCCCAGAGACAGGTTGTCTCTGGGCTCAACTTGGGATTTTCTTCACCATTTTTTCTTTTGGATCCTACGTGCTTGTGTGTATACACACAGACACCCTGGACCATGTGCTAAGGAACAACAGAAATGCCTCATTTTTATTTATTCATTTGTTCACGTAGCTAGTGGAGGAAGCCAAAATAGTTCTCCCCAAAATATTGAGACCTGCTAAGTGAAAGACATTGAAAACACAGGGAGTCTCTGCCTCTGCCCGTGTTTACCAGACACCAGGACATCCATCCTTCCTTCCTGGGGACGGCACCTGCTCACCAGCCCAGAGAGGGCCCCCGCCGTTGCCAGGGACTCTGGGGGCAGATTGTAGTGCCTTGTCACAGGTTCCCTCCTTTTAAAAGACTGGAGGCCAGGCGTGGTGGCTCACGCCTATAATCCCAGCACTTTGGGAGGCCCAGGCAGGTAGATCATCTGAGGCCAGGAGTTCAACCAAGACCAGCCTGGCCAACATGGTGAAACCCCATCTCTACTAAAAACACAAAAATTAGCCGGGCGTGGTGGTGCACACCTGTAATCCTAGCTACTCAGGAGGCTGAGGCAGGAGAATCGCTTAAACCTGGGAGGCAAAGGTTGCAGTGAACCTAGATCACACTACTGGACTCCAGCCTGGGTAACGAGAGAAACTCTGTCTCAAATAAATAAATAAATAAATAAATAAATAAAAGACTGGAGCTGCTCTCTCCTTTGCCAGGTCACTATGCCGAGAGTTATCGCTCTTTGTTAAAACACTACGTGAGCAGGGCCCCTAAACCACTGCCTTGAGAGAGGCGCTGGAATTGAGGCCCCCGCCATGGGCAGGGCACAGTGCACGCCAGGAAACCTCTTCTGGTTTTCCTCTTGTTCATCTGACTTTCATTTTCAGGACAGTGAGAGTGTCTCGACCAGGAACTCATAAGGGTTGAGAAAAGAAATTATATTTTCTCCTCCTTACTAGAAAATGTCTAAAACTATCTCTAACTAACTCCACACTTGATATTATGGCTTAGCTTGAGGTAAAATCCAGACAGACAACAATTTCCACCTGACAAGCCCACAGCCTGCAGGTGTCCTGCTGCTGGTCAAGGTCCAGAAACCGGAAGGACCCCAGCCACTTCGTGGGGGAAGCGGAAGACCACGGTGCGGGGCAAGGTCCCAGCAAGGGTGAGGCAGGGACCCAGGCAGCACTGGCCCAGAGCACTGAGGCCCAGAGCACCAAGTGGGTGCTGCCAAGGCTGGGCCGTAGCAGGAAGCTCATGGGAAGAATCCCTCTGTGGCCAAACAGGTGCAAGACGAAGGCCTCCTCCCAGGAATTGGGAACAGAGGGCTGTGCAGGTGGAATGGGGGCTCACTGGCTTGACTCTGAGCCCAGAAGCATGGAACCAGAGCTCCACAGATCCCTGCCGACGCCTAAGGCTCATCCCAGAGCCCGCGTGCTTGGAGTCACAGGCTCTGGGTGAGGGCCCAATAGCAGCAGATGGACCCCATGTAGCAGGGGCTGAGTCTCCCAGAAGGGGCTCTGCAGTTGTGGATTAACAGCTCACGGTTGAGAAGTTTCTACACCTGGAAGTGCTACAGAGTTACTGCAAGGGTGCTTTGAACATTTAATGTGAACATACTGACTTGGCACTAAATAAATACAAGCAATAAATAATTATATTGGAATGCTAAGGTTGCTTTTTATTTGAAGAGGGGTTTTCATCCTTGAAATGGATGGAAAATATGGCTCTAGACCACAGGGAGACAAAGGACCAGCAGGATGTGCACTGAACCCTCTCTCCCCTCTTCGACCTCGCAGGACGATGCTGAAGGAGCAGTACATCGACAGGACGCGCGTGGCCGTGTTTGGGAAGGTGAGTCTGAGCCACCCTGGTCTGAACACCCCTCGGTTCCAATGTGGCCTGCACCATTACCCAGGCCTAATCCTGATTTATTGAGAACGTCTGTGGTCTGCTGGTGAGCAAGTAATTATTTTTTTTAAAGCAAGAGCCTCGGTGCTTAGTGATTCCAGCTGTGGGAGGTTTCATTGGATCAGCTCATTTTTCAAAGTTTCTTTTTACATTATCTGGAAGGAAAGAGAAGAGAAGCCAGGTCCCCGCAGGAGAGCTCTAATACGTTCCTAATGACTTTTCTCCCATCCGCCTGCTGTAGCTCTTGGCATGGTAGCCCAGGAAAGAAGGGAAGCAGGAATCTATTTCTGGATATCTTGATGTGCAGTAACAACATTAATTACCACGTCTACTTAGGCGGAAGGACAGGTGTGGGGAGGGTCGCGCAGTGAACTCTCAAACCAGAGCCGCTCCCAACTGGTGGCCCTTGTCAGAAGGCTGTAGCCTGGGACAGTTCAGCTGTAGCTGAGGCCCACGGTTTGGAGTTAGGTCCCTGCACGGCCACCTGCTATGGCTCTGGTACCTGGCCCCTCATTCTCCTTAGCCTAGACCTGGGGCCTCTTGATCTCAAGAAGATCAGCACACAGATGGGGCAGCACAGACCCTCCCTCCGAGAGTGACCCTCAGCACAGGCCCTGCCGAGGAGGCCTTGCCGTGACGCCCCCGCGGTGAAGGCTTGGACAAGTAATCAGCACAGTGCCTCTTACGTCATCACCTCCAAAACCTCAGAGCCCAGCATGCCCTGGAGACCCAGCCCTGCCCTGTGGGCTGCTCCCAGAAGCAGGGGATGCAGGAGCCCTCCCACACCTCCTCCTTACCTGCTGGAGGTAAGGCAGCCAAGAGGAGGGTCGGTGGCTTCTCTCCTTGTTCAGAGCCCAGGCACAGAGCCCTAGAGGTGCATTCCAGGCGCCTAGACGTCCACTCACTGCCTGTGAGGCCCGAAGCCACTGGCTCATTGGTGGGTGTGACCTGGGTGTCAGTAGCCATCACCTCTCCCCACCCCCATGGAAGTGACTTCCCAGCAGACTGGCAGCTGGAAGGCAGGCAGCCTGGGCCGTGGTCAGTCTTTTCCAGTCCTCACTGTGCCCCAAATGCACATGGATGCCACTCCTGAGGGCCTGGTCTCCTTCCTGTGTCTTACATACAGCCCACCCTCTCAGGGCCTTTCATAGTTCACTTCTGGACAGAGAGGCTTTCTCAACAGGTGGTTGGTCCGGAAGCACAGGCAGCTTGTGCCAAAGGGAAAGGGGACCCCATGCACCTGTCGGAGCACAACTGATGCACCCCCACACCCTGTACCCCCGCACTGAGTTCTGCTGAGGACATGCGTCCAAGCTCCGTGCTGGGTATCTTTGCTTTGCCATTCTGCCCAGTGGATCCTGGGCCTCTTTCCAGAGCGTGAGCATTTCTGGTTTAACAAGCCTTAGATAGAGGTCCGTAGACCCCACAATGGTATTTCTCCTCCGACGAATAAAGCATCAGTCCTTTTAGCAGCTTGGCATGTTGCAGCCTGTCCGTTCTGTTTTGTCGCGCGTGCCCCAGTGATCCAGCTGCAGCCTTTGTCAGGCATCACAGGACCTGGGACACAGAGCCCAGGGAGCAGCAGCTGCCCTGCACCCAGAGGTGACCTGGGGAACAAGGGGGCAACTGTGCATTATGTTCTGCAGGTTCCCCCCAACACCAAAAATCCCCCCTGCAGAAGATTGACCATCTCTCATTTAAACCAAAGCAGGCAACGTGGTCCTGCAGGAAAATGAGTTTTAAAGAAAACAGAGAATGACAAGTAAGGATGTGTGGCATTCATTGACAATAAATATTGTTTGTAGAAAATGAAAATCCTCTTTCATTGTCATTAGACAAGGTGCCCCTGCCCTATTAAAGGAACACACCGGAACAATCATGCAGGCCATAAATGGTTGATCCTGGGGGAGTTTGGCATCACTTGCGCTTCATGGTCTCAGGCAGGTACCTGGGTTCTCTACACTCCATGCTCCCACCAACACACATGCTCACAGACTCACATACACATGCATGCTCACCCATACACATGCTCACACACATGCTCACACATACACATGCTCACACACACATGCTCACCCATACACATGCTCACAGACTCACATACACATGCATGCTCACCCATACACATGCTCACCCATACACATGCTCACACACACGTTCACACACACATGTTCACATATACACACACTCACCCATACATGTGCTCACCCATACACATGCACACACACACATACTCACACATACACTCACACACACAATTACACTTGCTCGCACATACATGCTCACACACACGATTACATACACATGTTCACACATACATGCTCAAACATTACATACACATGCTCACATGCTCATACACTCACACAATTACATACACCTGCTCACACACACGATGACATACACATGCTCACACATACACACATGTTCACACATGCTCACATACACATGCTCACATACACATGCTCACATACGCACACACATGCTCACACAGGCACACGTGATCACACAGGCTTGCACAAGTTTACACATATGCTCCTACAATGCTCACATACATGCTCTCACATACATGTACATGCACACACAATATTACACACATGCTTACACATGTGCTTATACACATACACCCATGCACATGTTCACACGTTTATACACACACACACACACACACCCCCATATACTCACACATTCACACACATGCTGCCACATGCTCTGTCTCTCACACATACCTGACACAGTTCCTTGCTGTACCATGGTTCCCTCAGGGTCTTCCCTTTGGGGGCTGCAGCTCGTCTGAGCATCCAGCCTTGAAGGCATCGAGCAGGCGAGGACGTAGCACTTTTCTCTGGGGAGGCCTGCATTGCAGTATGGCTTCCTCATCCCCACCGAGGGCAGGGCAGGGCAGGAGTCTAGGACTTACCTGTATACAGAATACCTGGGAGCGTCCGTCTCATGTCGGCCTTGTGCTGAGTATGTGCAGACCAGGACTTGTGCCCTAAGCCACTTGTTGGCCCCTCCCTCAGAATCGTGTGCAATGGCTTGGCCTCGCCCATAGATAAGGGAGGCAGCAAGAAATGCCTTAGAGAGACACTGAGCAGGAAGGACAGCACCTTACACCTGTGCAGTCCGCACTTGCCTTTCCAATTCGCCGTCGCATTTATCCTCACGTCCCTTGACACCAAGGCCCAGAAGCCGAGAAGGCGCACATCACATAATGCTGAGTTGGAAGGGAGTTTGCTTTTCATCTCTTGTTACTGCCGCGTAAACAACTTTCCAAGTGACACATTTTGTAAAACGAGAGAACCTGCATGGAACTGGCTGCTCTGGGGCTGTCTCCCTGCCCGAGGCTGCTTCGTGCTGAGTTACCGCCAGGACTCCAAACTGTCTTCTTTCTGCGTTCTCTCTAGGATTACGGTGGCTACCTGAGCACCTACATCCTCCCAGCGAAGGGAGAAAATCAAGGCCAGACGTTCACCTGCGGCTCTGCTCTCTCTCCAATAACAGACTTCAAACTCTACGGTAAATAGCCCCGCAGAACCAAGCGCCGGACCCCACCCCCGCCCCGCCCCCTCCCTGCGTGGCCCCACAGCCTTCCCTTCAGCACCACCGTCCCTCTAACCATAGGCGCCTCCAGTCCACAGTCGCCACCTTGGGCTGACGGAAGAACCCGGGCAAGGAGAGGGAAGGGTCTCAGGTGATATGTTTTCAATGAAAGTGGTCAACCCCCAGATGCCTACAAATCACATCGCAATGAAGAAGACCACGAGTTGGAAACAGCTAGTGCTCCGCCGGCAGCAGTGGGGCGAGGAAGCCGGGGTGCGCAGGAGAGGAGCAGGTGCCGCAGGCTCTGCCGGGCCACCTTCCTTCTCTGCTCCCAGAATCCGGATAGGGCCCTGCCCTGAGTTCTATGCCTGGGCATGGGTATTTGGTAGGCAGGTGTTACTGGATAAAGAAGGGATGGTTGAGAGGGAATGGCCACCGGAGAGCGATTCAGCAGAGGTCCACGTGGCTCAGCTCTGCCTTCCTATCTCCCTGGCCATGCAAACGGCACCTGGCCAGCACCTGTCCTCAGAGAGTGTGGCTTTCCGTGGGCACAAGGCAGAGACAGGGTCTGGGTGACCTGCTGTGGGGACCAGATGGAGATGAGCCCACCCAGGTGTGGGAACCAGACCTCTGTCCAGGCACAGAAGAGTTTTGCTGTGTTTGGGGGCTCCAGGCCCCTGCATTCTCCTCCTTATGATCACCTAACCCTTTTTCTCTGAATGGGAGTGGCTCTGTGACCTGAACCCATTTCTTAGAATATACAGAGAGGTCTTTTCTGTGACTCCGAGAACTTGCATTCAGGTCAGGGCTCCGTGGCAGCCAGGCTGTTCACTCCAGCTGTCCCCACCCTAAGCAGCGCTGGCAAGTGAGGTGGAAATGGAGGGGCCTTCCTGCTGCTGGTCCACCGCAGCCCTGCTGGAGCCTGACATTCCCTGCGGGTTAGAGGAACGAGTCCAGCCCCCATTGCCACACCTAGCCCCAGCCCTGCTATGCTGGCTGAGTCCTGTAGACACCGCCCAGCAAGGCAGGGACCACGGTGGGCCCAGCAGCCTCCTGGCTGGTGCAGCCAAGTCTCCCGGCACCTTCACAACAGGCTCGCTCCAGTGCAAATTTCAACTCATAATTACACACGAACTCTCCTGGTCCAAAATGTGAATCACATAAGAGGACGTTTTCCTCGGGAATGCGGGTGGCACCTTCAAGTTGAGTGAGACTTTCTTAATTCTTTCACCATGCTGTTTCAGATTTGTCTGATTCAAACGCACATAAAAGCTGCCATCGTGTCTTGATGGGTCACTGTGCCCAAAACCAGCCAGTCCAGTCCTCTTCATTGTCTCCTGGGCGCCCTCAGGCTTACCCTGCAGGCCGGGGACACTGCTGGAGCCCTTTCCGCCCTCGGCCCTGGGAGAAGCCCCTCACACTCCTCCTGTCGCCCAGCTGTGACCGCAGGGCCTCATGCAGAACCAAGAGCAGGGATGTGCCTGGACTTTTTAAAAAATAAGTAAATCTTGATGGAAACGTGCTCTCTTGAGCACCCATGCCCTTCCTAAGTGTTGAAGGAGGAGGTTATCCTATTTATTTAGGAATCAGATTAACTGGGTTTTGCTTAATTCAGGTTCTGTGGTACTGATGAAAATTGCAACACTGGCACTTACACATGTTAAGGTTCCCGTTGTACTGTCTGAGGCCCCTTGTAAAGACCCAAATGATTTAGGTGGTGTTTTCAAAAAACCAACAATCTGCCATGCAAGTGACAAGTGGGAATGAGCCTGAACCCCCTCCCCACACCTGGCCCAGGGCCCTCCCTAGAGCTTGGGGGCTGCACTCACAGGGCCTGGAAAGCAGAGGTAACCTCCCTCCCTTTGCTTCCGTGCAGCCTCCGCATTTTCCGAGAGGTACTTGGGCCTCCACGGACTTGACAACAGAGCGTACGAGGTATGTTTGGGCACAACTAAAGAATGTGATGAGACCAGTCAGCCTCTGCCAGTCTCCAACCCCGCCCTGGCTCTATGGCCCACTGTGCCTTCCCCAGCCCCACCAGCACCAAAGTCCACTCAGAAACCTCCGAAGGATCCTTCCACCAGACCGTGGCTTGAGGTTAACATGGCCTCTCTGGGTTCCGCCTGATTTCCCATTATAGGACTTGAGGGATGAGGAAGAATGTAAGAGGATATTTGATGGGGGAGTCAGCTCCAGCGTCCACAGATACCTGCCATGCACAGGACTCCTGGCTCTCGCCACAGCCAGAGCTGTGCTGCTCGGGGAGAGGGAGCTTTTTTTCTTTTCTTTTCTTTTCTTTTTGAGATGGAGTTTTGCTCTGTCACCCAGGCTGGAGTGCAGTGGCACGATCTCGGCTCACTGCAACCTCTGCCTCCCAGATTCAAGCAATTCTCCTGTCTCAGCCTCCCGAGTAGCTTGCATTATAGGCGCATGCTGCCACGCCCAGCTAATTTTTGTATTTTTAGTAGAGACGGGGTTTCACTGTGTTGGTCAGGCTGGTCTTGATCTCCTGACCTCAGGTGATCCACCCACCTCGGCCTCCCAAAGTGCTGGGACTATAGGTGTGAGCCACCGCACCTGGCCCGAAAGTGAGCTCTTCACTGAGGAGCAGAAAGCCTCTCTGATGCGACCTCCTGAGTCAGACCTGTTGATTTGGTGCAGCTGTCAGACACCGCGTTTCTCCAGCTGTGTGCAGGGAGGGAGGCCAGAGCTCCCAGCCGAGGCAGCACTGCGTTTTCAGAGTGGAAACTTGGACAAAGGAACTGAGTCCATCCAGGGAGTCAGCTCCCTGTGGCTCCAGGTGAAATGATGGCCCTCTGAGGCTACCTGGAGTTGGAGGAAACTCTTCCTTTTTCCCTTCTTCTCTTCCACCCCCTCCTCTTCCAAAAAGGGAGTTAATGTGGGAGAAAGCTGGGTGTATTAGTCCATTTTCATGCTGCTGATAAACACATACCCAAGACTGGGCAGTTTACAGAGGAAATAGGTTTAGTGGAGAACTTACAGTTCCACGTGGCTGGGGAAGCCTCACAATCATGGCTGAAGGCAAGGAGGAGCAGGTCTCATCTTACATGGATGGCAGCAGGCAAAGAGAAAGCGTGTGCAGGGCAACTCTGCCTTACAAAGTCATCAGCTCTCGTGAGATTTATTCACTATCATGAGAACAGCACAGGAAAGCCCCGCCCCCATGATTCATTCATCTCCCACTGGGTCCCTCCCACAACTCGTGGGAATTATGGGAGCTACAAGATAAGATTTGGGTGGGGACACACAGTCAAACCATATCACTGGGCTTCTGAGATCTGCCCTGCATTTCTTTGCATATGTAAGGCATCCCGGGTTCTCCAGGAACTTAGTGTTTTCAATACACTTCACCTACCTTCTCAGTCAGGTTTCCAAGCAGAACATCTGGCTTCCCACAGAGCAGCCCCCTAACTCTGTCCCCTTGCCCCCGCACGTGCAGATGACCAAGGTAGCCCATCGAGTCTCCGCGCTGGAAGAACAGCAGTTCCTGATCATTCATCCCACTGCTGATGGTAAGGACTGAAAATGTTAATTCACTGCGTATCTGGTGAGGACCTCCTCCTTGATGGCACCATGGGTTTTAACAAACGTCTTCCTCTCTTTCTTTTTTTTTGAACAGAAAAAATTCATTTCCAGCACACAGCAGAACTCATTACACAACTAATTAGGGGAAAGGCTAATTACAGCTTACAGGTACAGTACCCATGTTACTCTGTTTTGAACCTGGAGCAAGACTTTCCTTTCATGGAGAAAGACCTGACGGGTGTTCAGGGCATTCCACTGCAGCAGACACACCTGTGCTGTGGCAGTCGGTGATGAGCAGGGTCCCAGCAGGTTGGAAAATCAGCACATGCTCAACGTTTTCTTGTAATTAATGATAGCTCCGCTCTGTACTTCAGCCAGGTTTAAATCCCTTTAGGACAACCACCACCCCGTACGCCCACCCCAGCCCCGCTCCCCTCCTCTGGGCAGTGAGAAGGACCAAGCCAGCACCCGCCCCGCCCAGCAGTGTGGCTGGGGCTATCCCGGTGTGGGGAGTGGGACTGTTGTCCTGGGTTGGTGAGAGAGGTGCTGGCGGGCCCTGAGCCTTGCCCCACTGCTTCCCTCTGACCAACACCACACATTACTACACACTGGCAGGATGTCCTGGGGCCATCTGTAGCTGGGAAGTAGTGAAAGAGGGGTGCCCTTCCCAGAACTGAGCCCACTTTCCCAGAACCAACCCATGGCCCATCCACAACAGCATCAAGTGCTGACCCAGCCGCCCCAAACCTGGGCTCTTCCCAGTGATGCACAGGGCTGTCCCTGGAAACTTCTGCCATTTCCTTCCTGCCCTCTGCTCCTTTGGTGAAGCAGGTATGACCCACTGGTCTCCTCAGGTCTGAGACGAATGGAGAGCTCCTTGGAGACAAATGACAGGCACCCTGCCTCCCTCAGAGAGCTCTTGCCCTGGGCTGACCACTGCCTTGGCCTCCAGCATCCCTGCCTGTGGGAGGGAGGGACCACATGTGGGCTTGATTAGGCAGGGAGAGCTCCAACCAGAAGGGAGTTGGACCCCAGTGTGGATGAAGAGGGGCAGAAGGACGCGGTTACAGCACCCTCGAGTTTCCTTGTGAAAGACGTTCAGATTTCAGACTTTTTCGTAGTTAGTGTGGCAGTTGCATGGCAGTGTTAAGCACACTGACCATGGAAGCGCCAAAGGTCCATCTGTATGTGCTCATGTGGGCAACTCCCCAAGATATGGGGTGAGCTGAACCCCCCAGGTACACAGCAGCCTGCATCTCTGCAGGCTCCACGGGTATCAGGGAGCGGGACACACCCGGGGACAGGCATGTGGTCACGGCAAAGGCCTTCACAGGCACCCCATGCATCTGGAGCCAGGCCCAGCCCCAGGTAAGAGCACAGGAGATGGGGGCCTGAGGCAGGAGGAGAAAGCTTCCTGCCCCATACCTCTTGTACTACTTGATGTTTTAATGATATATCATAGCCTAATGACAGCATTAATAAATACTTCAAAATAAAGGTGAATTTTACCCTCCAAAAAATTACAAGGAAGGCAGAAAGAGGTAGTCTAGTGTCACAGAAAAATGTGGGTTTGGGGTTGGATGCAGTGGCTCACACCTGTAACCCCAGCACTTTCGGAGGCTGAGGTATGGGGATTGCTTGAGCTCAGGAGTTTGAGACCAGCCTGGGCGACACAGCAAGACCCCATCTCTACAAAAAGTTTTTAGAAAATAGCCAGACCTAGCTGTGTGTACCTGTGGTCCCAGCTATACAGGAGGCTGAAGTGGGAGAATCACTTGAGCCCAGGAGGTTGAGGCTGCAGTGAGCTATGGTCACACCATGGCATTCCAGCCTGGGCGATAGAGTGAGACCCTGTCTGAAAAATAAAAGAAAAAAATAAGATGCAGGCTTTGAATTCCCGCATGTGTACCGATGGTTCACGGTGCTCCTAGGAGATGTTGGTGTCACTGCACTGGCAGTAGAAATATTAGCCACCATCCTGTTGGCATCTGGGACTGAACAAGCCTACATTCCAGGCCTCATTCTAAGCACATCATGGCTGTAAGATTGTTTAATTCTCACAAAGTGTTATGAGCTGGAGTCTACTGCGATTATCCTCCCCACCCGACATACCTGGAATCCCAGGTTCAGGCAAGTTACCCGTCCACAGTCACAAAGGAAGTGAGCGGCCAGGATGCAAAATCCGTGGGGCCGGCCTGTGGGCACCCAGGGCAGCACGCAGCCCCTCCGCGGCAGAGTGTAACAGGGAGCACAGGAGCGTAATGGCGCGATAATGGCTCAGGGCAACCTCCGCCTCCTGAGTTCAAGTGATTCTCCTGCCTCAGCCTCCCGAGTAGCTGAGACTACAGGTGTGCCCCACCACGCCCAGCTAATTTTTATATTTTTAGTAGAGACGGGGTTTCACCATGTTGGCCAGGTTGGTTTTGAACTCCTGACCTCAAGTGATCCTCCTGCCTCGGCCTCCCAAAGCACTGGGATTAGAGGCATGGAATTCTTTCCATTTCTTTTCAGAGCCTGACACCCTGAAACCTTGGGCTGCAGCTCTGTAGTCCCCAAGCTTGTATCCATGTTGCAAATTCAAGCAAAAAGATCCAGAGTCTAGAGTGTTGAATGAAGAACTTCCCAAATTTTTCACCCAGTTTCCACGGAGCATTTGCTGTGCCTGGCAAGGGATAGGCACCCGGGGGAGTGGCGGTGTTTGAAGGCTGGTTGGCTTCATGAATGGGTGCTGCATTTCCACGCTAGGGGAGGACCCCCTCTGACTGGGACAGCCAGGCAAAAGTCCCAGGAGGAAGGGGCACTTCCGTCAGGAGTGACGTGGTTAGGAAACTCACTTCATCCACTAAAATCCAGCCCTGGACGGGGCCCAGGTTTCCCTGGGCTCCATACCTCCCGTGCGTTCCCGTCCCACGGGGAGGGTGTTCCGGGGAGAGTAATTTCTCCGTGCCTTCCTTGCAGATTTACCCCGACGAAAGCCATTACTTTCACAGCGCCAGCCTCAAACAGCATCTGTACCGGTCCATCATCAACTTCTTCGTGGAATGCTTCAGGATCCAGGACAAACTGCCCACAGTCACAGCGAAAGAGGACGAGGAGGACGACTAACCTCAGGTCGCTCTAAGCACAAACGTGGCTCTTTCTACAACCAGATGCAACTGAGGGATTTCCCTGCCCTCCCTCTTCCCTGGGAGGGGAGGGGCGGGGCGGGGCGGGGCGGGGCCGGGTGTGCCACAGCATGTGTGTCTCGGATGCAGTTTTGCTTGGGAAACAAGCTCCTTCCCCGGGGTCCTCGCTCGCGGCCTCCATCGCACCAGGGACAACTCCGTCCCCGCAGCAGCGCCTCCTGCTGGCGCCCGAGAGACCGGCACGCCGTGGCCCCTCCCCCAAGGAACCGAGCAAAGGATGGTGGCGCCAAAGCCCGCGCGAGCCCACAGAACACCGGCCCCTAGATTCCAGCCACCCGGCGGAAGCATGAGACCCGCCCACGAGCCTCTGTGTTCCCGTTCGCAGCATCACACCCTGTCTCATGTCACAGTGCCACGGACACAGCAGTTACAGCACAATCGTTTAGCAGTGCGCGTTCATAGATGGGCTTGCTACGTCCTGTCATTAGGACATCCAACATCGTGAGGGGCTACAAGGAAACCCTTTTCTGTACAAAGTCTTACTGTAGCTACGCTAATGGTTAGCCTGATAGAATTAACTCGTATTTTTCTATGGTTTTAACCTGATGCTCCAGTGTCTCCGTCGCGGGGTGGTTTTGCTGTTTTGGGTTTGGCTTTGTTTCGCTCTCCTTTCTCCAGTCCACGTGTAAACTTTCCGCTTGTTTGGATGAAGAAGCAGATCAGAAGTAACTGTTCCCTCCTCAAGGCTGTCTTCAGAGGTCTTGGAGACGCTCCTAAACACTGAGGGGGAGGACAGCCAGTAGTACCCATTAAAAGAAATACGTAAATAAAACCTGTCTCCCACTGAGCTGTGCTAGGGCTTGGCTGTAGATGTGCACTGTCTATTTACATCCGTCCTTACAACCATCCTTGTCCTCCTTGGTACGGTATCAAGCTTTTTCCCATGACATTTGGTTAAAAAACAAAACAAAACAGAAAAAAGACGAAGGGTCAACTCCACCCCCAGGTCTGCTGTGTGTGCTCGGGCCACGGGAGTCCTGAGGGTTCTGTGGGCCTGCGCGCTTCCCTCTCCCATCGTCGGGGGAGGCTCCGTGACCTTCCTGCCACGAGCAGGAGGTTGATGAAGTGCTATGTTAGCCTTGTAAGATACACTCCCACCAAATGTGCGGCCGGTGTTCCCAGTGTATATTTCGTTCTGTTGTATATAAAGGAAGCAACGTGTGTCAGACCTCTGTGCGGTCAACCCAACCTCCTCCCGCCAGTGCTAACCCCGTGTTGAGCCTGCATGCTGACACTCTGGCTGATCTGGACTCTAGAAGTGCTAGTTTGAAATATATCCATTACTGTCATTTCCTTTTGAGCTTGTGGACAAGCTGAATGTCAGGACTGACTTCTCCAGCTCCCAGCCCTGCGGGGGTGTCCTTGGCATCCTGTCAGCAGAGGAGATGCATCCCTGTTGCATTTTGGCATTTGGGGTTTTGGGTTTATCCACACGAGCTCTGAACGTCCGTTATAGTTGGGGTGATTGGAGGATCTCTGTCACCGGGTGTTTTAAAGGTGAGTCACCACCATTTGTGAAAGGACCAATGTGCTGACAAAAGGACCGATCCGAGTGCTACGTGACTGTGCGTTTGCTATTTCAATGGGCCTGAACGACTACAAAGCCAGCTCGGTCTGGAAGGGGAAGCCAGCTCTGGCCACGACACCTGGTCGGAGGGACGTGGGGATGTGGCATGGTAGCGTCTGTTCATCCATGGAATAAAACATTATTTTACCACTCGGATTGCTCCTTTCTTGCTCATCCTCCACCATCTCACCTTAGAAAGTGTGCAAGGCTTCAGGAGACTTTCAGAGTACCCACGGGGCCCCTCCAAGATGGATGCGCGACCTCAAGAGCCTGGCGTGTGCCAAATGAAGGTTGCATCCATGGTAGCAGCAGTCTGGGTAATAGAGAAGGAGGCAACCAGTCAAATATATCAAAGCCCCAAATCAATCCAAGAAAATGCAATTGAATTTTGTCTTAGAAGTCTTAAGGTGGAAACGCAGAGCTATTCCCTAACCCCGAGAGTGAAACTGATTCTCATTGGAAGCCATAGCATTGCCCACTAGAAAACTTTAATTTTTTTTTTTTTTTTTTGGAGAGATGGGGTTTCACCATGTTGCCCAGGTTGGTCTCAAACTCCTGGCTTCAAGTGATCCTCCTACCTTGGCCTCCCAAAGTGCTGGGATTATAGGCATGAGCCACCATGCCTGGCCTAGAAAACTTTAGAAAAATGTCTCCATCTGTTGGAAATTTATCCACTCATTTGCTGTTATCAATGTCTGATGTAAACATGGCCCAGCCTGAAAGCCAAGGGATTGAGTTAATTAATTAATACCACCCGATCATGGAGCAGCTGCTGCCTCAGAGACAGGGGCTCAGTCCTGACATCCCCGCTGAATTAGCTGATTCTTGTCACCCTGTGGATCAAGAATCATGGAAAGAATGGGGCAGGTAAGGAGAAGGAGTTAAAAAGGAGAAAGAAAGAAAGAATCAAATGCAAAAGGAGATTTTTAAAAACCAGACACAGCAGAGGCCATCTAAGTCTAACATACTCATTTCCCCCAAACAGTATCTCTGTGAGCCACCCTGGCCCTCTCCCAGGTCTCACCCTGGAAGGAGGCCAGCGCCCCCATCCCAGCTTTCCATCCCTGTGTCCCTTCCCCTGGACCGGGGCTTGATTTGTGGATAGGAGTTGATGGTTTGCTCCAAAAGGTGCATTTTCCCACTTTGGAAAACACTGAGTATGGAATGACGAGCTAGGCCTGGCCCTGAGAACAAGCATTGGCTGCAACCAGCAGGGACCACTCTGGTTCCCACTTGGAGAAGCTTTGGTCTTTCCCCAGCTCTACAATGGTTTTGGGGAGACACCGGTGTGGCCTCCTCAGGCCCCTGTAGCTGTGGTTGCTGTGCCTGTCTGGCTCAAACCCCCCACTGCAGCCTTCTCTGTGTGTTCAAACTGCACATGTGTGGCATAGTAGAGCGCTATTTTTGTTTCTAATTTAGTTTTCTTTTTTTTTTTTTTTTTTTTTGAGAAGGTATCTTGCTCTGTCACCAGACTAGATTGCAGTGGCGTGATCTCAGCTCACTGCAACCTCTGTCTCCCTGGTTCAAGTGATTCTCCTGCCTCAGCCTCCCGAGTAGCTGGGACTATAGGCAAGCACCACCACACCCAGCTAATTTTTTGTGTTTTTAGTAGAGACGGAGTTTCACCATGTTGGCCAGGATGCTCTCGATCTCCTGACCTCATGATCCACCCACCTGGGTCTCCCAAAGTGCTGGGATTACAGGCGTGAACCACCACGCCTGGCCTAAATTAGTTTTAATACTGAACTTCCAACCAGGCAGCTATGGAATTCCCAAAGCGCCATCAGGCTTCTCAGCACCCAGCTCCAGGTCCACAGCCCAACTCCTGGGCTGCCTGGGGCATCTCTGAGGCCACGGGCCACCAGCTTCACAAAGACGTGCACTTGGGGGGACCTCCATCCCCACAGGCCTGAAAACATGCTCCTTTCCCTCCTGCCTGACCCGACCGTCCCAGAAGCAGTGATTTAAGGGGTTGATTGATTTTGGGAAGCCCCTATTAAAATCCCCCCTGTCACAGAAAAGCCCAGAAGGACATTTTTAGAAGCTCCCTTGGCGCTCCCTCCTAGCACACAGCTGTGCGTTCGGAGGAACAGACAGGTGCCTGGTGAGAGCCTGGATGTGCCCATGGACAAGGGCCAGGCCATAAATCAGGGCAGGGCCCTGACCCGCACCTGCAGACGCTGCCCCGGGGCCAGGCATGGCCTCTGCAGCGGTTGGTCCCAGAGGTCAGGACTTGAGCGGTAAATACCAGCTTCTCTTATTCTCAGCCCTGCTTCTAACTGAGGACTAACTGGGAAAAGCCAAATACCCACAGCCAATCTCCTTTGACGACCTGCTTCTGAGCGCCTCCAGCTGCCCATGCCAGCAGCCTCCAGCCAGAGCATCCCTGGAGCCTCCTTTCCTCCACCGGGAAGCTCGCCCACCCCCCTGTCCATACGCAGGTAAAAGCACTAAGCCACTTGCTGGAGAAAGCTCTGGATAAGCAGCCTCTGCTCACACTCATTTTGGTGCAGTCTTAGCCTTAGCCGCCATAGTGAAGTCCCATAGACTGGGGCCTTAAATAGCAGGGCTTGATTTCACACAGTGCTAGAGGCCAGAAGTCTAAGATCATGGGGCCAGCACACTGTGTTCCTGGTGAGGGTTCTCTCCCCGGTTTACCGTGGGCCGCTTTCTCCCTCTGTCTGCACGTGGCAGAGCGAGAAGGAGCAAGAGGAAGCAAGAGAAGAGACTTCTCTGACGTTTCTTCTTACAAGGGCACGAATCCCATCATGGGGCACCCACACTTATAACCTTCTAACCCTAATCACTTCCCAGATGCTCCATCTCTAGCCATCACACCAGGGGTCAGGGCTTCAGCAGTGAATCTGGGGAAACACACAGCGTTCGGTCTGTCACAGGTGGCTTTTGTTTATTTTCACACTGGCATTCCAGGGAGAAAATAGGTGTTCTTTCATTCCAGAGAAGAGTTGCTGAGGGGCCTGTGGGGACTCTGAGGCCAGGAAAAGAGGGAGGCAGACGGAGCCTCGGGAGACTGACCTCCCTGCGGGGGCTCCCCAGGAGTCGAGACGGGCAGATGGGCAGCCTCCAGGGCTGCTCCTGAAGGCCTGGCTTCCCCTCTGCAAACCACAGGCTCCAAAATTGTCATTCTCCATCTGAACTCAGCCAGTGACACTACACAGGGAATCTGAAGCCCAGAGGAGGCAAGGAAGTTGCCCCAAACCACGCAGGAAGCGTTCACAGTCCTGCATTCCTTCCCCCCTTTTTCCTTGCTGGGTTTTCTTTAATGATAAACTCACAAGTCCTGGCCTCAGGGCCGTAGCAGTAGCCAGCCGCCTTTCTCCGCAGAGTTGGGCTGAGGGGGGGGTCTAGCAGGGTCCCTTGGGGTGCTCGTCCTTACCCGTGTGGGTGCCCCAAGCACAGTCTCCAGCCAACATGGAGCCCGGTTCGGTGGACGTGGGCGTCCACATCCAGGCTCTGAGAAAACCACAGAGCTACGGACCCTTCCAATTCCCGCCCAGCTGGGGATCCTTTCTAGCAATCCTCTTACTGATTGGCTTACCAGCATCTGACGCACGGCCATAAGTAGCTCTGTGCTGATTCCCAGCCTGGAATCGGAAGTGACCACAAGTTCAAGGAGACACGTAAACACACAGAAAAGCAGGGTCAGCCACTCGACTCTGTAACCCCCGCCCAGGTGATAGTGTGTGCCACACACTCAGCACGGGCCTGGCCCACCGTGGGTGTGCCAGCAATGAACGCCCTGCTGCACTGCCCACCCAAGTAAAGGGAGCCCCAGAAAGCCACAGCCTTTGTCTGCTTTGTCCACTGCAGAAGCCTCAACACGTAGAACCATGTTCACAATCAGAGGAAAGAGGAGGGTCCCGCCTGGGCCACAGCATCACAGTCTGGGGGTCTGCAGGAAAAGGGTGGATGCCAGCGGTGACCAGAGCTGCCGTGTCTGTGGTTCCCTCGGTGGGAATGTGCTCTGTGCATCCGTCGGGCTGGCTCAGAAGCTCCTGGAAGCCCTCTCAACTCTGTGCAGAGCCAGGTGGACAATAAAATGTTTGGGAAAGAGGAGAACCACTTTCAAAATTCTATGAATATATTAAATATATTAAATCCATTGAAACGTTAAATTTGATATACATTCATTTATCTTCAACCTCGTCATGAGCTCAGTGGGTAGAGTTCTGTTAGCTTCCATGTGTAAACCACAAGCTTAGGTACTGTAGTATAAAAACATGCACGTCATGAATGGAACAGGGCCCGAAATACCCTCGTGAAACCACCTGAATGCCTAGTCATTTATGGTTGTCTTGTCCACAACTTATTTCAACTCTTTTTTTAGTAGATTGCCCTTACTGAATTTTTCCAAATCACTCGACTTCGTTTTCCTAGGAATGACACCGTTTTGTTTTTATACTCACCATCCAGAGTTTAAGTGGGATTGAATGAAATTCAGCTCCGTGGGTAGCACTGTGCTCCACCCAGCGCCCCTCTCAGAGCGCAGGCCCCACCGTGGCTCAGCTCCTGAGCATGTGGGCTGAGCTGCTCCCAGCTGGGCCCCGGGCTAGCCTACCCCACCTGCAGGGGACCTGCCTGGTTGAAGGTCACAGCCCCTCCCAGGAGTGCCACATGGCCAAGGACTGTGTGACTTCGGATACCAAGACCCAGTCTTAAGACTCTGTCTCAGTTTAGGACAATTTCAGAGGTTATCCCAGCCACAGAGGCCTCAGCCTCAGCCTGGGGGCAGGCTGAGGCTCAAGGGCAAGGTTCTGGGGGACAGACTGAGGCTGAGACTCAAGGATGACGTCCTGGGGGACAGGCTGAGGCTCAAGGGCAAGGTTCTGGGGGACAGACTGAGGCTGAGACTCAAGGACGACGTCCTGGGGGACAGGCTGAGGCTGAGGCTCAAGGACGACGTCCCCCTCAGCCCCCTGGTGCATCTCCCTAGGGCACTACCAGTGAACCTGCATGAGGCAGCGGTCCCTCAGAGTCTGTTTCTAGGGATGCTAATGTAACCTACGACCGGAGTGAGAAGTATCACTGCAAATGAAATGAAACAGAACAGCTGTGGGTGCAAACCCAATAGACTCTCGGCGAGCCCAGCGGCACTCACCTGTGGGGGATGCTGGCTTCCACCTGGAGGAGAAGATCAGACCGGCCGACCACCCTGAGTGTGGGCAGTCCGTGTGCTGCGCAGAGGGGCGTGCCGGAGCAGACAGCCTGCACCCTGCTTTCATGATGTCGGTCAGGGAACTGTTACCACCCAGACTAGACACGGCCCGCCTGGAACCCCTCCATTGACCTGCAGGGGATTCGCTTGGGGGTAGCTCAGCTCCTCCCATGCCTCTGCCACGGACCCCAGGCACTGCCTGCTGGCCTGGTGGGACTTTCACTCCAAAGCCCAGTGACTAATGCAGGAGCATTGAGGACCCACTGCCAGCATCCTCTGAATGAAGAAGCTGCTCCCTCCCTCCCAGCCTTGCCCCTAGCAGGGGAAGCTCCTGCGTTGGAGGAGTCTGGGGCTCTCTGGCTTTGAGTTTGGTTATCATAACTAATGGCTCTCCAGACAGAGGCCAGCCCCACCCATGACCTGGTTATTCATTTCATCTAACGTGGTTTGTGTCAGCCTGGTGGGAACATGTGCTGGCAGCTTCAGCAGCCTGCACAGTCAGTTCTAGGGTTCACAAGACCCGCTTGGTGAGGAAGATGGTGGCACGAGGCAGAAACAGCAACGTCTTTGTGGTTGTGAGGTCTGGGACCACACGCTCCTATCGGCTGTGTAACATCGGGCAGGTCATTTCATTTCTCTGAGCCCCAACTTTCTCATCCTTAAAATGGAACAACTACCTGCCTCTTTAGGGTGTTGTACGAATTAAACGTTGTATGACAAAGTCCTTCGTTAACCTGTGTGCTGCACACGTGTGGAGTATGATTACTCTAAGTTTCATTACTGTCGGGGTTAAGAAAGAACTAGATCAGTCCCTTGTAGGAATTAATTTTCTAGCAGTGAACATGAGTTTGCGTTAACAGAGCCATGCACTTGTCTTTTGAACATGTATGGGTCTCAATCCTGAGGCTGTACCCTTGTAGGAAGGCTGGCCTTCATCACAGGTCCTCCCAGCCCTGGAGTCCCCAGGAAGCTGTTTTTGAGAGACCGGTCTGCAGGTCTGACTCCAGGACAAGTCGAGGTTAACAAAGTTAGAATGAGAAGCAACTTCCCAGAGGGCAGCTGAGGCCTCGCAGGAGGCCTGTGTCAGAATGTCCACTTTAATTAAACTATTTGCCTGCCTGTAGCCTGATTTCTTTTACACATGGTCTAATTTCTTACAGTTGACCTAAGTAACTCTCACACACCACCCTGCAAGGCAAGAGTTTTTAATTTGAAGCTTCGACCATTAGGAAAATTCATGGATGGGCTTCAGGGGGTCTATGAGTCCCTGAAATTGCATGCCAAAGTTGTGTGTCCATACACATCTAATACCATGCTGGTGGCACCAACAATTGCCACCTGGAAACACAAGTCATTCGTGCCAAAGGGCTTTGGGTCTTATGGACTAAACTTCCTTAAACATCTCACTCTGTGAGACAGCTTCCGGCCTGGCAGAGTCATCAAGGCACCTCCAGACAATGTGAGAATCTCACTGAGTTTTATTTCTCTTTCTCTAGAAAAGGGCTAGTAACAAATTTGAGACTTTCATAGAAGACTTTCATACTTAGCTGAGTAGCAGCCATGAACTTCAGCCCAAGGAGAACGCGTTCACTGCATCTTCACCTTTGTTCCCACTGGAGTCTCAAAATATCCTTGGGAAGGACATGAGGCAAGGACATCACTATTCCAGTTTCACTGATAAGAAAAAGAAGGTGCACAAAATTTAAATGATTTGCCCAGAGGATGTAGCTAGTTTTTCCTCGAACCAGCTCTAAAACCCTCTCAACCAAAGCGTTTTCCATTGGAAAGGAAAAGGGGAAATTTTCCATTTCCCAAATTAATTATCCCAGTAGATCAAGAGACCCTTCAGGAGACCTAAAGTCAACTGGTGAAGATTCACAGTGTTAATTTCTGCTCGTCTGAATTTCCACAGGGATGAATGGAGCCACAGCCAGTCACGGTAAGCTGATTAAATAGGCACTTTGCGAGCCACCCACCAACAGGAGGCCAACTCTATCTGCTTTTTTAGTATTCCTGTTGTTGTGTAGTCCACTCCCACAGGGAATCAGGCCTGACCCCTGTGACAACAGAATACTGCAGAGGTGACAGTGTGTTACTCCCAAGGCTTGATCATTAACGGTACTGCAGCTTCTGTCTTCATCTCCTGGCCAGATGGCTCCTTCTGTGGGAAATTGGTCACCATGTTGCAAGGATGTTGAAGCAGCTCCATGGAGAGGTGCATGCTGAGAGAGCTGAGGCCTCCCACCAGCAGCCAGTGCAATTCGCCAGCCATGTAGGGGAACCACCATGTCAGTAAATCCTCCATCCTCTGTTGGTCCCACCCGTGACTATGGCCACAGCTGACATCTGATTGCAACCTCAAGAGAGACGCTCAGACAGAATTCTTGGCCAAGGCACTCTCAAATTCCAAATCCAAAGTAACTGTGAGCGATCGTAAATGATTGTTGTTGTTTTAAGCCAGTAAGTGTTGGAGTGATTTGTCACACAGCATTAGATAACTAATACAAATCACATCCACCCCCCAAAACTCTGCCAGCACCCACATAAGTGCCTCTGCAGGACACCCCTTTCTGTAAATATGGGATAGGCTGGGGCATACGTGACCCTCAAGAGTGGGCACAGACTCTGAACCATCTGACGTAGGTCACTGGTTCCTAGTCCCAAGCATCAAATCCCTGCTACATCGGGAAGGGTTCACAAATGGCAGGAAGAGAGATGGTAGAAAAATTCCTGCAGACACTACCCAGAGTCCACCCTAGCACTACCGCCCCTCTTTCTTAGAAGTGGAACCCCCAATTTTTAACTGGGCCTATGGTCGTCCAGAATAAAAACTGTTCCAGCCTCTTTGCTGAGCCTAACTTCTGGCCACTGAGATGTATGGTGACATGCCACATGGCAGCTGCCAAGACACTTCCTCAAAAGGCAGCAGGGACACATCCTTTGTCTTATCTTCTCCCTCCTCCCTCTGGGATCCTGAAGGCCCAGCAGAGCCTTGGTCTACAAGGTGGAAGCTCTGAGTGAAGGATGACAGAGCAAGCAGATGCTGCCTGGGCTCCTGGCAGGTGGGCACACTATACCAGCCCTGGTGTCCCGCACTAGAACTCTCTATCTTCTTTATCTTGGCCTTGTCTGTGTTTTGCAGTCAAATTTGATGCCAGCTAGCACACTGCACTGTGAGAGCTGAATTACACAGGCCAGCGGCTTGATCCGAGGGCCCAGAGCCTCTCACTGCAAAATGCTGCGTAGTTGGCAGTTATTCAGGACAACTAAGCATTTGCATTGGACACAAGGCAGATGACTGCGTCCATTCACTCCAAAGATCACAATAGCCACATTAATAATAATAATTAACATTTGTGAAAAGCCTGCTCTATATCAAGCACTGTGCTAGCATTCTGCATGGATAAACACATTTAATCTTTGCACAATTAACACATTTCAGTCTACAACTACCCTATGAGGTTGGGTTGCCATTATTTACGTCTGGTGGACAGGAAACAAAAGGAACAGAGAGACGCCGTCACTGGCCCCAGATAACAAAGCCAGTCAGTGCTCGGGAGGGAGTCCTGACACCACCAGCTACCTCTCCAAAGGGAGGCTCTTAGCAGGTCCCAAACCCGAGTCTACCCACATTTGGGCACAGCGGATGAACTGTGCGACCTCCATGTGTTTCATATAGGCTTGGCCTCGGCAGGTTGATTTGTTTAGGCTGAAAGAGAACGAAGAAGGGCTTTCTGCCCAGGTGCCTGGAGAGGTGAGCAGGGGTCTCTGGTCTGCCAGAGGCTCTCTGGCAAGAGCTGAAGAACTCGCTTCCTGGCAGACAAAGGGAGCGTTGGCTTGGCCTGGGAGGCAGGGGGCACGCTCTGTGGCCCAGAGGGAGCGCCATGCAGTCCGTCCAGAGAAGCTTTGAGATCTGGGGCCACCTGGGCAGCCCAGGGTCTGCAGCAGCCTCCTGCCAGTCACCACAGCTGGAACCTGGGGGCTGTGGAGGGCTCCGAGGTGGAGGATGGTCCCATATGTCTGGCGGATACCATGGAAGCAGCCGTCTGTCCTGAGCCAGTCACACAAAGGAGCCAATTTCCCGCTGTGTGGGAGTCCCTGAGTCCAAGCACACTTGGCAAGGAGCCCTCAGAGGCCAGTGTCCTAGCCTGAGATGGCAGGGGGCAAAGTTGGTGAAATGTAGGTCGTCCGTGGTGGTGAGTCCCACCCTCACCCAGAGGCCAGTAAGGTCAGCAAGCAAGACTCTCCACTGTAGCTGGTTCAACTGGATTTCACTGCCAGTATTCCCTGTGGGTAAGAGTGGTATTTTCAACATTTTTTTTTTTTAGACGGAGTCTCACTCTGTCACCCAGGCTAGAATGCAGTGGTGTAATCTTGGCTCACTGCGACCTCCACCTCCCGGGTTCAAGCGATTCTCCTGCCTCAGCCTCCCGAGTAGCTGGGACTACAGGTGTGCACCACCACACCTGGCTAATTTTTGTATTTTTAACAGAGATGGGGTTTCACCATGTTGGCCAGGCTGGTCTCGAACTCCTGACCTCAAGTGATCCTCCCACCTCGGCCTCCCAAAGTGCTGGGATTACAGGTGTGAGCCCCCAAGCCCAGCTCATAAATATATAAATATGATGAATTCATTGACTAATAGAGAAACAGGCCCCACAAATGTCTCCAAATTCTGTTTTTAACTGCACCAAGACTGCTGGAGTTTTATGTTTCAGACCAGATGTGTGTTTTTCCAAATAGCCATTTTTATGGAAATCTTAATATTGTCTGAAAGTCAATTGTTCTGTGAATGAGATGTTTACTCGCTTGGCGGAAGAAGGCAGAACTAATCCACTGCTTGGGGTCCTCTTCTATGACTGCAGCAACCGTGGGTTTTGATGACCTTGAGCTGGACTTAGATGACCTTCTCAGTGGCACGCTGGCATCGGCCTTCCTAATAGAAAACAAAAGGAGAGAAAAACAAAAGAAAAGAAAATCCCGACCATAGAATCTGTCGATCTCTGTGGTGTAAGTGTTTCCACCACGGCCAACATCAAACACCCGAGCTGCCGTCACTGAAAATGGAGTTGGGAAGTGAAGAGCCAAACCCCTTCCCGCCCATTTCCAGTGAGTAGGTGTGACATTCTCCATCAGGCACGGGCTGACACCGGTTATCTCCGGCTAACACCGGTTATTAGTCCATGGGGCAGGGGTTCTAGGATGGCCAGAGAATGCCACCCAAGGAGTTGACAAATGCACACCCTCCATCCCAGACACGGTTTCTTCTGTGGCATCGAGCAGGCCCTTCTACAAGTGGAAACTGACTTTTTCCCACCCAAATGACAAGGTCCTGGGGTCAGGGACACGGTGTATTTCCCCTGTACCTCACCCCTTCTTCCCCCATCGACAGCGCCTGGTTCACACGAAGTTCTGAGCAACTGGAGGGACGCGGACAGAATGAATTGCAAGAGGATGTGGGGGTCCTAGCTCCACGTTGGATGGGACCACCCCATGTTTCCATGCTCCTGGAATCCCACCCTGAAGCTGAGCTCCACGCCCCCACTCCTAGAGCACTTTCAGAGACTGCAGCCTCAAGGAATTCTACTGAGTTCAGCAACCGGCAAAAGCTGCCTGGGGAGCACGGTGGAAGTTAAACGCCATGAAGAGAGCATCCTGGGCCCCCAGACTCTGGGGTCAGGAGTCTCACACTGCCACGCTGCCGGCTCAGGCATACATTATCAGTCTTCATACATGTCAGAGCAGGCCTCAGCTGCTAGCCCTCTACACCAGCCCTGCAAACATTTCTTCAATTATTCAGTCACCAGGCACACCCAGCTAGTCCACTACTTCAAAGTTACATTGTTACAAAGCATCAATTACCGCAAGGTTTAGGGCTGAGCTGCCAGGCCCGGACACTCCACCCCCCAACCCTGACCACCCCAGTCTTTCTCTCTCTCTTTCCAGTCGTCTCTCTTTCTTTCTCTTCTCTCTCTCTCTCTCTGTCCACTCTATCTCTGTCCCCATCTCTCTTCTCCCCTTCTCCCTCTCCTTCTCTCTCTTCTTTTGTCTTTTCCCCAGCTCTCCCTCGCTCCTGCCTTCTCTCCCTCCTTGTCTCTGCCCGTGCCCTCCCCTCCCCATCCAGGTGGGTGGTCAGGCCTTGGTTAAGGCTGGGTCATCCAGAGAGGAGGGGAAGCCTGGTGGAGCTCCTAGCGCTGAGCAGACCAGACAGACTTGGAGAAGGAGATGGGAGCAGGGATCAGGAGGGAGAGTGCAGGGGTACCCCTGCCATAACAAAGCACCCCAAACCTGAGACTTCAACAGAGTTTTATCATCCTATGCTTCTGGAGACTGAGGTCGGAGATCAAGGTGTGGGCAGGGCCAGGCTCCCTCTGAGAGCACTAGGGAAGGGCCTGTCCCTCCACCCTGCGCTCTCCCCCCAGGGATGGTGGGGGGCGCTCCCTGGATAGTGGCTGGGTCTCTCCACACTCTCCATGGCACTCTCCCTCTGTGTGGGTCTGTCTCTGTCCTAATTCCTCCTTTTCATAAGGACAGCAGTCATAGGGAGTTAGCGCCCACCCTGCTGACCGCATTTCAACTTGATCACCCCTGGTCAGATCCTGTCTTCAAGGAAGGTCCCATTTGGAGGTGCCATGGGTTAGGGCTCAGCAGATGTTTTGAGGAGCACCATTCCAGCACAACAGCAGGGCCTCCTGGGTGGGAGAAGGAAGGAACGGCTGGGGCGGGAGGGCCTGTGTCTCTGAGGCAGCTTGCGGCTATGGAGTAGGTGGCCCCGTGGGTGAATTTGGGATAGGGCCTTACTGTGTCCCTGGTCCTCCCAGGAAGGGCCTCCTGGACTCTCCAGGGCTCTGTCCTTCCCGATGGTGTCAGCCATGCTGCGGCCTGGTCTGCAGGGTCAGTCACTCACGCCTGCCATACTTGGGCTTGTTTCTTTTTTTTTTTTTTTTTGAGACGGAGTCTCATTCTGTCACCCAGGCTGGAGTGCAGTGGCGCGATCTCGGCTCACTGCAACTTCCACCTCCCTGGTTCAAGCAATTCCCTTGCCTCAGCCTCCCGGGTAGCTGGGATTCCAGGCACATGCCACCAAGCCCGGCTAATATTTTTGTATTTTGTACTAGAGATGGGGTTTCACCATGTTGGCCAGACTGGTCTCAAACTCCTGACCTCAGGCAACCCGCCCGCCTCGGTCTCCCAAAGTGCTGGGGTTACAGGCGTGAGCCACCGCACCCAGCTTGTTGTTTACACCCCAAATGAGCAATCTGGAGAAAACAAAAATAAAGCCCCCATCTGAGACTGTGAATTAGGTTTCTCAGGAGATGCCCTGTAAACTGTGGATGTCTTTCCCAGGTCCTGGAGGCCTAAGACAGCAGGCTGAGGAGTACAGCTCAGGAAGTGGGAGCAGGGAGGGCTCAGCAGGAGCTGGGGGTGATGCGACGCCCTGGAAAAGCCCTGACATCGGAAGCAGCCCCTTGAGGCTGCTGGGGAGGAGTTGGCGAGACCTGGAGCCAGGACGGTGGTGGGACTGGAGAGACACCGATGGGCTTGAGGCCAGGAAGGAGGGGAGACACCTCATCCCTGACTCTGCAGCACAGGAGCTCCAGCCACTGCAGGCTCCACACCGCAGCCCCGCTGCTCCCTCTGGGTGCTCCCACCTCATGGAATACCTGTTTCCAGAACTCACTGACGCCCGGCCACCACGCCCCTCAGGCTCCAGACACTGCCCGGCTCTGTCCTCGGTGAAACGTCCCGCCTGTGGTCCTGTTCTCTCTGGCAGGACCACTGCTCTCCAAAGTGACCACCGGCTACTCTCATCCGTGAGGGCGTGCTCCAGGGACGGCAGTCAGCTGGTGGGCACCTTGCACACGGCCCTGCTGCTGTGGACAGAAGTACAGTGTAGAATAACAAACAGGCATCGTGATGGCTAATTGTACACGACAATTCGGCTAGGCCACAGTGCCCGGATATTTGGTTACACACCACTCTAGATGTCACTGTGAAAATATTTTCTAGATGAGGTTGACATTGAAATCAGTAGATGTTGCATCAAGCAGATCACCCTCCATAGTGTATGAGGAGCTCATCCAATCAGCTGAGGCCTCCAGAGAAAGACTGACCTCCCCAAAGAAGAGGGAGTCCTGCCAGTCCACAGCCTTTGGACCCGAGCTACAGCACCAGCCCTTCCTTGGGTCCCCAGCCTGCTGCTCTACCTTGCAGATTTTTACCAGCCTCCACAACCACATAAACCAAATTCTTTTTTCTTTTTCTTTTCTTTTCTTTTTTTTTTTTTGAGACAGCGTCTCTCCCTGTCGCCCAGGCTGGAGTGCAGTGATGCAACCTTGGCTCACTGCAATCTCTGCCTCCAGGGTTCAAGCAATTCTCCTGCCTCAGCCTCCTGAGTAGCTGGGATTACAGGCACGCACCACCACACCCGGCTAATTTTTGTATTTTTAGTCGAGATGGGGTTTCACCATGTTGGTCAGGCTGGTCTCGAACTCCTGACCTCAGGTGATCCACCTGCCTCAGCCTCCCAAAGTGCTGGGATTACAGGCATGAAAACCAATTTTTTAACATTAATCCCTCTCTCATATATGTGAGAGAACCACCCTAACGGTTCTGTTTCCCGGAGAACCTGACTAAAACAGGTACTCTTGGATTAATGAGCTGCCACTTGGATAGTTTTATTTAAGATCAGGACATGCACGCTCATGTGGCTACACTGAATAAAGTAACCAGATGTATTAAACCACAAGGGCCAAAGGGAGTTTGGTGGTGATTTGCATGTAGGAGCAAGTCAACGAGAGCGGCTTTGATCAAATGACCAGCAGGGGGCGCTGTGGGCCAGAAGGGGTGAGCGTGGAACCAGCCCCTGCGAGGGAATGAAGGACACACTGTGGCCCTGGCGTTCAAGAACAAGCCCGTCACGTCTGTGGGTGCTGGCAGGGCAAGGTCGGGTGGCAGCTCAGGCCCTATGGCACCTGCGGGAACCCAGGAACACCCCACGTCTTGACTGGGGCCTGCACAGGCAGAGCTGAACCCTCAGACAGGAGCAGGGTGAGGCATTTTCCACGCCAGGCCTTTCCAGCTTCCGTCGTGGCCTCATGGAGATTGGCGGGGCCGTGAGCATCACGCGGTCTCATCCCCTGCCTGCGAAGGAAAGAACTCAAGTAAGGACAGATGGTGCATTCGCCTGTCACCTCTACTTGTAGGCAGCAGTTTTCGGGCTCGGCAGACGTTTCTGTCCTGGGCACTGTGGGATGTGTGGCAGCGTCCCTGACCTCCACCCACTAAGTGCCAGGGGCACCCCCACCCCGAAGTCATGACAATCAAAAATGTCTCCAAATGTATGGTTGCCAAAGGCAACAAATGAAAACACAAGACACCCAGTTGTGTGAATTTTGCATATATTACAAATAATTTTTTAGTCCGTCTCCTGTCATGTGGGGACACATGTATCCTAAAAAGTTAATTGTGTTCATCGGAAATTCAAATATAACAGGTCACCCTGTATTGTATCCCACAACGCCTCCACCTGTGGGGTGAGAACCCCTGTCCTGGGCCTGTGAGAGAAAGAAAGCAGCTTAGGGAGACTTGAGAGTCACGTGTAGACACAAAGCAGCCCTGCCCCATTGCCCGGCTGCAATGTCACCCGCGGCACGCACACCGGAGCAAAGGAAGAAGGTCAGGGCAAAGTCATCCTCCTCATTCTACAAGATGCAAAGGAGGCAGAGAGATTAAAGGGCCAGCTCCAGGCCAGACGGACCACGGGAGTGGATCCAAGGCTGGACCTGGGTCGGGGTGCCGGTCACTTTCTTGGATTTCTTCCTCCGTAAAAATGGTTTAAAATTGTATTTTATGACTGCAGTGATATAAAGATATTATTACTGTTATGTTAGTAATTATGGTTATTAATATTATATGTTAAAAGCTTCTTCAATGTAAACATTAATTTTTTTTTCTTTAGATTTTAATGGAAATTAAATGATGCTCCCAGCCCCTTACAGTGGTTATGGGGGGGGGGCCCTGGATACTGAGCCTCCTGGGCTCAGGACGAGCCAGCCCTGCCCTCCACCTCTTCCCGCTCTGAGCCTCCTGGGGACCCACTTCAGGCACAACAGCTGGGGCCGAACTGCACCAGCGCCTCCCATACAGCTCAGGTCCGATTCTGGGAACCAGCCTCACGACTGCCCATCAGACCCAGAAGCAGGTGCTCCTGAGTGCAGCCGATCTTTTCTCATGATTAGTGTTAAGTAGACGCACTGTGTTGAACAGCAGATCTCTGGAACCTACTCGTCGTGCATAATGGAAACTGTATTCTACCCCTGCTTCCCCTCCTCCAGCCCTGGAGACCCCCACCCTCCTCGCTGCTTCTATGAGCTTGACTGTTTCAGATTCCTTGTAGACGGGAGACCATGCAGTGTCTGCCTTTCTGCTTACCTCATGGAACATAATGTCCTCTGGGTTCATCCATGCTGTCACTAATGACAGGGTTTCCTCTTTTTCATGGCTGAGTAGTACTCCGTGGTGTGATGATGGCCTGGACTCTTTATTCATTCATTTGTTGATGGACATGGAGGTTGCTTGCACTACTTGGCTATTGTGAATAGTGCTGCAATGAACTTGGGGTGCAGACACCTCTTCAAAATACTGACTGCAATTATTTTGGGTCAATACCCAGAATTGGGATGGCTGGGTGGTAGGTAGTTCTATTTTTAAATGTTTGAGGAACCTCCACAGCATTCCCTATGGTGGCTGCCCTGGTCCACATTCCCACCGACAGTGTGCACAAGGAACACTTGATCCTACTCTTCCACACCCCTTCCCCATCTGGACCCTCTTCACACCCCTGATCTCTGCCAGGGTTGGGGGTCCGCCTTCCCCCACTCACCCTCTTTGTGACCTTGAGCAACCACCTCGGCCTCCCACCCTGTTCTTCTTCTTGGCAACACGAAGGCTGGGGGCAGACAGTGGCAAACGCCATTTCCCACTCTACCTGTTTGGGTTCCTACGCTTTTCCCTGGCCCTGAAAGGCAGCACTGCCACCCTTTCCACTCCTGCAGGGAGATCTGCCACACGAAGGGGAACGCATGTGAAGCAAACAGGCGACAGGGTCACCTGCCCTCCCAGACATCCTTCCACAGCGGGGAGGATGGAGGAGAGAGGGAGGGGCACACCCTGGAAGCTGGGGAAGGTCTCATTCCTGGTTGGCAAACTCTCCTCTTCACACCCACCCTGCAGGAAGTGGCCCTGCCAGCCCTCCTGGGGCCACTGCAGCTGCCGTGGGGCCTGTGTTCCCAGGTCCTTGGCTGCCCCTCCTCCCTCCTGTCCTGCCCCACCCATGCCTGGGGGGGCCTGCCTATGGCTCTACTGGAGCTGCCTCGCTGGTTCTTTCACTCCCGTGAGAAAGATGCTGCCCATTCTCAGGCATCAAACCTCCAAGTCCTCTGTGGAGCAAGAGAGAGAATTTGACTGGAAAAGTGATTTCAAACCCAGTATATTGACCCACCAGTGACCCCTCCTCAGGTGGGGCTCAGGTGACCTGTGGCCAGTTGGGCTTAACGTGCAAGTGAGTTGTATGTTGTCTGGAGGTGACAGGGCACCCCTCCAATTTTATAACGTCACTGTCACCTGCCTTTCAGCACACCCCCAGAGGCGAGAGAGCGTGCGTTGGTTTCTCCAGCATGCAGGAACCACTCACGGCATGTCGACCCTGGGTGGATGGACAGGGTTTCCTCATTCACGGTGGCCCTGCTCAGCTGCAGTTTCTCTTCCTGGAAAAAGAGCACAGAGCCCCAGGCATGGGCCATCACAGCTGATTAGCCCACACACGCCCCAGATGACAAGGAGTGATGGTAAGAACATTCAAGAACATTCTAGAACATTCTGGAGCATTCACAGGGTGGTGAGACATGCACCTTACTCTTTATATGCATTAGCTCTAAATCCTCACAACAGCCTTGGGGGTAGATTTAAATTTTATTATCATTTTCTGGGCAAGGATCAAAGTTCAGCAAAGCTAGGATGGGACTGGGACGCCCCTGAAACTCTAGGACATGCCAGACGTCCTCATGCAGCTCACACCCCACGCGGAGCAAGGGGCGGCCCTGCATCTGGGGTCCCTTTGCCATTGCAGGAATCACAGTGACGTGATGTCAGGGATGAAGGAGGAGTCGATGCAGGCCACCAGGGAACGGGTGCTATTCTCCTGAGCAGCATGATGGCTGCAGAGGCAGAAGGACAGTCTGCCCTTTCGCCTTCCCTGTTTTGAAGACTGAGGGGCTGAAGAGAGACCAGGAACACACTTGAGTCAAAAGGACTCACACAGAGGTTTGGAAGAACTTGTTAACAACCTTCCTGGTGCACCTAAGTGATCACTGTGAGATCTTCAGCTCCCTGACAGTCTGGGGGAATACAAGGCAGAAGGAAAGAGCAGAAACAGTGAATGCTCCATTCTGGACACCACTCCCAGATCAGGATCCATCACTGAAGGCACATGGCTCAGAAAGGTGGGAATCCAGTGGTAGTGGAGATCCTACACCCCTGGCTTCCCCACCCTGGGGCCATGCCAACCTCGGCTTCCAGACCCTCCGGCTCCATTCCTGGGGCCTCCCCACGCCCACGCCCACCCATCTCCATTCCCTCTTCCTGGGCCCCCTTCCGGCTCCCTGTGTGGTCACTGCGGGCTCCAGGCTTCTACCTGGGGTGTATGCCCCACGGCTGCCCCATCCTCAGCTCACGGATTCTGCGACTCTGTCTTTCTCTTCCTCAGGGGTCTCTGACACCCACCTTGGTAGGAATCCTGGAGGTGCTGGGGACCACCCCAGGCCTGCTGTTGACTCGAAGGGCAGGGACAAGCACTAGGGCCATGTGCGGAGAAGCCGGTGTGGTTTGTAGAAGCTGCAGCTGGTCCAGCTCCTCCCTTGAGCTCTCTCCTGCCTGGTCTGACCCACCTGTCTCTGCCGCACCCTACCCCAGCCTTTCCAACCAGTCACAGCCTCTGAAACGAGAGTGCCCGTGCCCCTGCAGGACTGGGCGCACAGTCTGCCGCTGCTCTGAAGGCTCTAACCGGGGGCGCTTGCACCCCAGCTCCCTCTCTGTCTCTCCCTCCTCCCTTCCTTCCTTTTTCCCCGTCTCCCCTGCCTGCTTCCTTCCCTCCCTCTCTCTTCTCTCTCTCTGTCCCTCACCCCTTCCCAGACTTTCTAAGCTAGCCCACCCCCCACCTCTGAATATACAGACCCTGGAGTCCCTCAGCAGGCAGCCCTGGCCCACCTGCACCTCCTCTACCCCTCCTCTCTCTGGCACCTACACTTCTTCTGGGTTGTGCCCTAAAGCCTGACTCTGGGAGTGAAGCCCTGCCCCGCCCCGCCCCATCCTCGCCCTGTCCCCACCCTGCCAGGCCCTGCCCTCTGCCGCAGGTGCTTGTCCCTGCCAGGGACTGCCCCATGGCCTCAGCACCGAGGGGCCAACACTGGGACAGGACACGGAGCACTGCCCAGGGGACATTCGTGTCTCCACTTTCTAACCCAGGAAAGCCGGGAATCCCTGGCTGGGAGCCCTCCTTAGTTTGCAGCGTTGTGGGGTCACTGCCTTGTCAATTCCTCGCACAGACCCAAGGGAGCCACTGCATTTAGCTTTATTTCCCATCTCCGCCCCTGGACACTGGGGTACCCCACACCAGACAGGAAACAGCACAGCCCTGGTCCCCTGAGGTCCTTCATGCTCCCCATTCCTGCCACCACCTCGCTGGCCCTGCGCCATCACTGCCTCCAGCTCCTCAGGTGCCTGGGAACTCTGGGACCTCCAAGAGTCAGGTAGTCTGTCTCCCTGGGCCGGTGTTTTCACTCGGGTGCTCATCTCCGATGGCCCCAGCCACCCCAGACTCAGTTTCTCCTTGTGGGCTGCCCCCTCCTCAGTCTACTGTCTGAGTTCCCTGTGACGCCTTCCTGGGAGCACCGAGTTCCCTGTGACGCCTTCCTGGGAGCAATGCCCCTGTCCTTACCTGAGCAATATCTTCAAGTCAGGCCATCTCATAGGTGCTGAACAGACCCCGGACAAGCTGCTCCGGTGATGGGCGGTGGCTGGGTGGGGTGAGGTGCGATGGGGTGAGGGTGGTCCCACGGGAGGGTCCCACCCAGCACACAGCAGGTGGCAGAGCATGTCTCAAATTCCATTCCAGGTCCTGTGAGGCCCAGCTGCACCCCAATTCCAGGCTCTTCTGAGCGTCCCGTCCCCTTGCCAGCATGTGAGGAACCTAAGAGTCCGTTTTGCTACAGGAATCAGGCTGAAACCATCATCCTGTGATGATGTATCCCATCATCAGTATCAGATTGTGATAAATATGATTTTGTCCAACTATGAACTTTGTGACCTAAAGGCTAAAAAGAAAATTGGAGTAATAAACCAGACAGGCCCGAGAGATTCAAGGGAAGTTGCAGGCAGACTGGGAGTAATCACGGTCTGGGGTGTGTAGGAAGACTGCCTCCAACATGGGTCTGCACACGCCTACGCAGCCGGCTGGGCGAGCCACAAATGCGGGGCCCTGGCCACTCCTCGCTCTGGCCACTTCTCACGATTCGGCTTGCAGCGAGTCACCTTGAATAATGGGATCATGCCTTTCTTTGGGCCAGAAGGCCACCCGATTCTGCTTGCTAGAACATGACTTACCCTCAGCTATCCCCGTCCTGTGATGCAACCTATCAAATGAGCAGCATCCACCCGGGCAGCTTGCACCACCCCGGGGACCTGGGGGCCGGGGAAAGTGACTCAAATATGCAATGGTCGTGCTGCCTGCTGTGTGGGGAGTAACAAGGTGCCCAGTCTCTGACCAGGGATCTCATGTCTTCTGCCAGCATCCATGCGGCAGTCGCAGGTCTGTAAAACAGGCAAAATCCCATCCCAGACCCAGCACAGGGCTGCCCTCAGGACCAATCTCACCTTAGAATAGGGAAAGAGAGGGCTGGACGCAGTAGCTCACGCCTCTAATCCCAGCAGTCTAGGAGGCCAAGGCGGGTGGATCACCTGAGGTCAGCAGTTTGAGACCAGCCTGGCCAACATGGTGAAACCCCATCTCTATTAAAAATACCAAAATTATCTGGGTGTGGTGGTACATGCCTGTAATCCCAGCTACTCAAGAGGAGGCAGGAGAATCGTTTGAACCCAGGAGACGGAGATTGCAGTGAGCCAAGATCACACCACTGCACAGCCTGGGCAACAGGGCAAGACTCCTCAAAAAAAAAAAGAAAGAAAACAGGGAAACAGACAGCCAAGCCACCTGGAGAGGGTGTGAAGCCAAGCCGCTACCCCAGCAGCGGTGAGGCCAGGATGGGCCCACACTGGTGAAGAGGAGAGTGGACGGGGGCCTGGCCCAGGGCGGAGATGGGAGTGCGCCAAAGTGTGTAGGGACAGGGGCCGGCTTAAGTCACCATAGTGAGAAGGTCATTATCCAGAGCAGAGTCCAAGGGCATTGCTCGACGGCCATCCCAGCTGGGTGCTAGGAGACGGGGCAGGGGCAAGAGAGACGGTGAGTAGGGCTGCTTGGCCTGAGCCTTCCGGGCCCTGTGGGAGGGTGGCACTCCGTGGCCACTGTGGTTGAAGAACCATTTCCAGACACTGCCCTGGGATGGGAGTCGTGGGACAGACCCTGAGCTGGAACATCTCAGTGGTTGTTCCACAGCCTCCAGTGTCTCTTTCTCTCAGCCACAAAACTGTCAGCCATCCCGATGGCGACTCGGTCAGTCTTTCCCAGAGGAGGCAGAGCAGAGCCCCAGGCCGGCACTGGGGAGCAGTGAGCACAGGTAAGAAGGAAGCCCTCGTTAAGGCTCTAAGCCCTGCAGGTCCCTTGTCACTGCAGCGTTTGCTAGGTTGTCCTGACTGACACAGCGAGTGTACGCATGAGCTGGGAAGCTGAAGATAGCCAGAAACTGTCAGGTCACTGAGGCATTTAACCAGTGTCAGAAGGAAAGAGAGGCCCAGAATCTCACAGTTACTCCGCAGCCCTGTGTACCTGGGAACACTTGTCGCCGGGTGTAGACGACAGCCGGAGACTTCCCTCCCGGAATTCTGGGCCACGTGGCATCCTCGCCGTGTGCAGTCCAACCTCCTCATTCCGCTGTGGGAAAGAGCTGAGGGTACAATTCAGAGTTTCCCTTACTGTTCATTCACTCGTCTATTCAGCAAATATACATTGAACATCTGCCCGGAGCACAGCAGTGTAACACAAACTAGAAACGAACAGGTAAAGAGGACACCGTCCTTTCCACAAGGAGCTCAGAGGCCAGTGGAGAAAATCCACACCAATAGAGTCACCGTGGATTTATAGGCAGGAATGATCCGTACGGGCAGGGACAGCGACACAGGCAGAGAGCTGGCTCACCCCAGCCACGCGAGGGCCCAGCGGGGCAGCGAGCCGGAGGGGCTGGGGGCACCCAGAATCCCACAACCCGCCACCGTGGGACAGCCTGGGTTCACTTCTGTTGGAGAAAAAGCTGCTTTTTTCCTCCAGAGCAGGAATTTGCCGTCACTGTGGAAAGGACCCCGTCCCTCGCTGACCCATGCTCCCGGGGGAATGGCGTGTAAACGGGAGGGCTGCGGTGCTGCGCGGAGGCTGTGGGGGCTGCTGGCCTAGAGGGTCCTCAAGGAAGACACGCTCTGCAGAAGCCTCTTCTTTGCAGAAAGGGCTTTCTCTGGGGCTCCTCTGAACCAGACACTGATAAATCGGGTTAATCAAGAGTCATAACATTAGCAGAGCGTATTTGGGCCTCTCTGTTGAGCATGTTTAGAATGTGATGCCTAGTTTGCTAAATATCTTTCCTGCTTTGTGTAAATTGAAGAAAGAGTCAAGCGATGCTTCTCCAGCCCCTTTTCCTCCGGGATTGGAAGGCATCCAGGGCCCTCGCTCAGGCCGTGCCTGGGGTCAGCAGCGTGTATAGGGCTTGGGCTCTGCAGAGGGACGGTGGCCCCGTGTAAGCATCTTTCCTCCGGAGACACCTGGATGCGGAGTCTTCATGACGCTCTTTGGAGAGGTCCTTTCTCACTACGCTGGCCTTAACGACTCGCCAATCCACCTGCAATTACGTGGCAAAGGATTTAAACATGAGCACAAGGCCCCTGGCCTGTGGTGCTCCTGGGGCCCCCCAGCTTCACACGGGAGCCCAGTGAGCCACTGTCTCCACTCATGTAAGTCTCTGACCCAGTCCTCAGAACAAAGGTGGGTCTGGAGCCAGATCTGGAGCCAGACGCTAGTTCAGGAGGCCCTGGAACCCGTGCATGCGCCCATGCCCGTCTCTCCCCATCAGTTCTCAGATGCTGGGCACAGACGCACAATTTTCATGAAAACTGCAGGTACCCACATAAGACCAATGGACAGGTTCCTCCATGAGTCAGCCCTGCTCCTGCCACGGGGGTAGGGCCAGAAGACATCACAGAACGCACAGCCTCCGCCCTGGTGATGCTGCTCCCTGGCATTGCAGGGACTGGAGAGGGACAGCCACGGGAAGGGTTTGTGTCACGGGCTCCCACATCTCAGCGGGACGACCACAGGAGGTGGCACCAGGGAGGCACCGCACTTCCAGGAGCAAAACGCCCAAGCATTTCTCAATGGGTGTTGGGGCCTCCGAGGTCCGGAGCGTGTTGGGGAGAGGGGAAGCAGGTGAGGAAACTCCCACAGCTCCGTGTATGGTCACCATGCTAGGATTCAGCAGGAAGAGAACCACTTTTCAAACCGGATCCTGGCTTTGGAAGTCAGACCTCTGCACAAATCCTGACTCACTCCTTCTCCTGTATAATGGGGTCTGGAGAAACTACTTAGTGACTTTGTGCCTGAGTCTCCTCATTCGGAAAGTGGGAATTACATCCCCTGACGCGCAGGGTTCCTACTGTGAGAGTTCATTCAATCCTGACTAACCTGAATGTCACCTGTAGCCGCTTGTCAGGTGGTTTGGAGCTGGGAGGCCAGCCCTGCCTTCCTGAGAGGGATGGTCATTCCCAGCTCTGATGCTAAAAATGGGGTCTCTGAGGCACCGTGGATGCCAAGAGCCGGGTGGCATGAGAGCCAGATGGGCCCCTCTGACTCCCCACCTGCTGCTACCAGTTCACACCCTGGCATCTGTGCCCGGCGCAGCCCTGGGCACTGAGCACAGTGTGGCAACACTCGGCACAGAGAAGCCGGGCCCTGCACAGATGTGTCCAGTGGGGACAGACCAACAACACATATGAGAAATCTATTGCCTGAGAGGGTGACTCACGCAGAGGGAGAGCAGAGCATGTGGAGGGGCTGGGCTGGGGTGGAGGCATCGTTCTCATGGAGGAGTCAGGGGAGCCCTGCTGAGAAACTGGAGTCTACACAAAGCCCTGAGGGGAGGGAATGCGTGGTACAGATGCCTGGGAAGGGGGCTCCAGGCAGAGGAACCCCAAGTTCATGGCCCGAAGGGAGTGCCTCCCCAGCACAACCCCAGAATGCCAGGGAGCCCTGTGTGGCCAGAGTGGGGCGGGGGCAGAGGGAGAGGCTCTACCTGTCCGTCCCTCCTGCTGGGTGGGAGCCCCTTGGAGGCCACAGAGCCACACCGTCTCCTGGCTCTGTGCACACCCACCACAGTTTCCTGTTGTCTCAAGGGGCCACCACAGAACCACCCCTGTCCCTGTGGACTTGCCCAGATGGATGAGTGCTTGGCACCCACAACAGGCAGATAGCAGGACCCGGGTCTAGCAGTGTGGTCACAGAACATCTCTGCCCCTTCTCAACACAGGCCAGGCTCTGTCTCCAACCTATGCACCATCCCTGCAGCCCAGGAGGAGCCCATGCTAGCACCAGCATCCCCACACCCACATTCCTCTTGGCCCAGGCCCCACTGCAGAGCTTGGACTGCTGGACCCTGGATTAGCCACCCAGTCAGAAACGGTCCCTGTGAACTTTATAAAATTCATCAGGGCTGAGGGGAGGAGGAGAAAGGAAAATAGACCAAGCTGCAACATACTCAGCATGAATCACTGGGTCAGCCTGCTCTGCAGCCATTTCCTCATCGCCGTTTGCTGCCTCTCACCCCAGAATCACATAAAGCCTGCCTTGAACTGCTCGATAGACAACAAGTTGAAATTATGAAATGTTAAGTTTTGTTAACATTTCTCCGAGATATCCTTTCAGTTCCTGTGTACCACTGCAACTACTGACGCCAGCTGGTCTGAAGGACTCTATGAGAAGCTGAGTCCCCAGCAGAGAATGCAGTTTCCACCTCCGGATGACTTCATCCTCCTCACCTCGAACAATCAAGCACCCCAGTTTTCGAGTCCCTCACCCTCCTTAACAACCCCAGCCCAGAACTCCCCAGGGAGACGGATTTGAGAGTATCCTCCCATCTCCTCACTTGGAGTCCTGCCGCCACTAAACTCTTTCTCTGCTGCAAACCCTGCTGTCTTGGTGCATTGGCTTGTGACTGCACAGAGGGGCTATGACCTGTTGGCCTTGTAACAGTCAGTCCTGAACTTCAGCCCTATCCTGTAGTTTGGCCCAAGATCCCTGTGGTGTCCAGCCTCCAAGCTGGTCCCCTGAGATCCCCCTCCTGGTGCTCACCCTTGTGGAGGCCCCTTCCACAATGCACAAGGGCTGGTTGGAGTGACCAGCAGTGACCACATGTCAGTGCTGAACTGAGAGGAGGTAATAAGAGACTGTGGCTTCTAAGGCTGGTGCTTGGTCTTTCACTGCTCTCCTCTTTCTCTCCATCTCTCCTTTCCTTTTCTTTCTCCCAGTCTCTGTCTCTCCTGTGTGTGTGTGTGTGTGTGTGTGTGTGTGTGTGTGTGTGTGTGTGTGTGTCTCTGTCTGCCTGAATGTCTCTCTCTCATCACTAACTCTGGGGAAACCCAGCTGCCACTTAAGCAGAGGGCCCTGAGCAGCATGTCTTGCAAAGCCCTGAGATAACTGCAGCCCCTGCTAAGAGCCTGACTGCAAACTCCCAAGACAGCCTGGGCCAGAGCCACCCAATCAAGCCTCAGCCAGATTCCTGGCCCTCAGACACTGGAAGATAATAAGTGTTTGTGGTGTTAAGCATCTAAGTATTGGGGTTGTATGTTACACAGCAATAGGTAACTAATACAATCCCAAATGCTAGTCACCTGCCTCCCCTAACACACAGGAGACCATCTGTCTGGACAGCCTCATTGGCCCCATGAATTCCCTTGGCCTGGCCCAGAAAGCTGCCCTCAGGGGCTGGAGAACTGAGACAATTCTGCAGGTCCCTGTAGGCCTGAGCACATCCTTGAGGCTCCAGTTCTCCTTCAAACCCCAGCCCAGGGATCACATACGCAACCAAAGGCCTTTACTTTTAATTTTAGAAAATTGCAAACTGCAGCCCAATGACCAGCAGGACAGCAGCTTGATATCAGATAATGGAATCTGAGCAGCAGCTGATGTTAATCTGATTGTTCCCGACAGCCTGGGCAGGGCCAGAGAAACAGGCTGCAGATCCCTGCACCTTTTATCTGCAACACGGGGTCAAGTTTTGTTCTTGTCATTGGGCCATGTCTTCCAGTGTCATCGGCTCAGCACTCCATGGTCAGCACATAATGACATTTGTTTTTCTTGCTAATTGCTCTTGGAGTGGTTTCCATTTCCCCAGCTAGACTGAAATCTTGTGACCCCAGAAAGAGTGTCTTTCTGTGAGTCTCACACAGAAAGGAGTGTACGGTGGGCTGCCTCTCTGTTCTACCCTGTTTTGTGCCTAACCAGCTGTCCACCGGAGCATGATGACCACAGTTAAATAACCTGCCATGTGACAGCAAGTTGCTAGATTCAGCAGCAACCAGTCACTCACCCGTTTCCTGATTATAGATCTCTGGCTAACGACACCACCTTGCGCACTACAAGAATGTGGAGCAGGTTGGGCATGATGGCTCACACCTGTAATCCTAGCACGTTGGGAGGCTGAGGCAGGTGGATCAACTGAGGTCAAGAGTTTGAGACCAGCCTGGCCAACATGGCGAAACCCCGTCTCTACTAAAAATACAAAAACTTAGCCGGGCATGGTGGCAGGTGCCTGTAATCCCAGCTACTCAGGAGGCCGAGGTGGGAGAATCGCTTGAACCTGGGAGGTGGAGGTTGCAGTGAGCCGAGATAATGCCATTGCACTCTAGCCTGGGCAACAGAGCGAAACTCCATCTCAAAAAAAAAAAAAAAAGAAAGAAAGAAAAAAGAAAAAAAAAAAAAAAGAATGTGGAGCAATGACCATAAAGAGTGAAGCTGACACTGAGAAGTGCTGGCAGCCCCCTCCAGGGACCAGGTGCGGCTCATCAGCACCCTCGGGTCTGAGCTTTTGAGCTGAGGCCTTTCCAAGCCTCAAGGGAGCAGATGGTAGAAGAAAAAAAATGTTAAATCCCCAAGCTGGAGGAAAGTGGGTTTGCCAAGAAAACTCCTTCCAAAATTGTGTCTCCAACACGACCCTGTTGTCTTTGACAGCAGAGACATTTCTGTACAGCTTCCCTCCTATTTAGACACAGAGATCTCAGGAACAGCTGAAGTGAACTCGGCATCGGAAATATAAGATCAGCAGGGACACAAGTGGGTCTGAATCACAGGAAAGTTAGTTTTTTCAAGTGCCAAGGACAATTGAAAGCACCTGCTTTTGAATTTGTCAACTGGTACAAATTGGTTTTTGGCACACACAGAAATGTGACAAATTTCTACAGCTGCAAAAACAACCTCTATGCAGCAGGACGGAGACAGAAGGCGGCTGGCGTCCTCGGGTGGGCTCTGAGCCCTGTTCACCCCTGAGACTCTCCTCCCGGCTCATGTGGCCCCTCCTCTCAGCCCTGCAGCGGCCTCTGCCCACCGGCATTGCTCTCTGTCCGCCAACTCACCTTTCTTGAACAGTCTTTGGAAAACATTTCTGGGCCGTGGAAGGGGTGCATCTCTTCCCAATTATTCAGGAACCAGCTCTGTGACCCTGGACAGGTCGCAGGAACCTCTTGGGCTTCAGCCAAAGGGAAATGAGATGGTCAGTCAGAGGGTCCCCAAGAGGCCACACCTGTGAAACCCAGACCAGGCCACGTGGCCACAGGTTCCCAAGCAGCGGAAACTCTTAGGTCGGCCTCTGCAGTCCGAGATCTGAGCGCAGCAGAACTGTCACGTGGCCAGCACCTGGGCTTCCCCCGGAGCTGCTCAGGAATGCAGAGTTCAGGCCTTGTCCCCTGCTGAACTTGAACTGGACCGGCCCGGGGAGGCCACTCCTCAGGCCTTCAACCTGTCATCCGAGAGCCGCCAGCAGATGGCAGCAAAGGCCCAGCTCTGGCCAGGTCTGAGGCCTCCGGGCTGGGCTGGGCCCTGGTGCCTGGAGGACGATTGCACGCCCTGGGACTGTGAGTTGCAAAGGCACCCTGAGGAGCCCCGGGAGCTGAAAACACTTCCCGGGCTGACGTGGCGCCGAGAGAGGCTGCGAACCAACTCTTGGCTTCCTCTTTAGAGGAGAGGTGGAGCGGGGTCCGGGGGGCTGGGGGGACACTGGACAGGCTTCGAAAGAACCAGTGAGCCAGCCAAGGGCAGCGGGAGCCGCAGAAATCAGCTCGGAGAGAGTCGCGTGCAGGCTGGCGTTGAAGGCAGCTCCGGGGTCAGGCTCCGGTGCACCGCGAGGGATGGGGGCGCCCCGGGGGGCTGTGCTCCCCGCATTCCCACCACGGCGCAGGGGTCGGGTGCCCTGCTCCTCTCCTCTCCACCCAGGGCCGGGCCTGCCTCTGGAAGCCCCACAGGTTCTCTGGGGCCTTTGGTTCCAGGGGGACCCAGGAGAGCAGCAGCTTTTGTCCGTGGGGGCCACGGTGATCTTCCCAGACACAAAATCAGTGCCTGGGAATTGCCGAGTGACCATCAGCACACGTAGAAAGGGTGGCCTTTGGGACTTTTGTGCAGCTCGCTCGGGTGACAGGAAGTCAGCTCCGAGCCCTGCCCAGCCCCAGCCGCCTCCTCCCAGCAGCTTCCAGGGCTGCAGCTACTGCAAGAAGCCGAAGGGGAACCCGTGCCCGGGGGCCTGGGGACCGGCAAGACGAGGCGGGTAAATGGACTTCACGGGCGGCCTCAGGCAAAGCCAGGGAGGATCCGTATCCTTGTCAGCTCCGCAGCCACAACACAGCTCCGCGGACCGGGGGCTCAGCAGCGGGCGTCTGCGTTTCCCAGTCCTGGCGGCCACAGCGCGAGATCTAGGCAGGTCTGCTTCTGCCTGGGGCCTCTCTCCTCAGCTTAGCTCCCGTCTTCTCCCCGTGCCCTCACCTGACTGTCCCTGCGTGCACGGCTGTGTCCTCCTCTTCTTGTAAGGACACCAGTCCTGCTGGATCAGGGCCCACCCACATGACCTCATTATACCTTAATGGCCGCCGTGGAGCCCCCAGCTCGGCATAAAGCCACATTCTGAGGTCCTGGGAGTTCAGCCTGCAACTGATGAATCTGGAGGACACAATTCATTCAGCGCACAACCATCACGGAGGCTTTGCTCAGGGCACAGCTAGCAGTGTGAGTCGCCCAGCACCAGCACCGCACCGTGGTGGTCGGGGATAACACCCGGGGCTCCAGGCCAGGGAGCCCAGCTGCAGTGCAGGTGCTGGAGAATGCTGGGGAGGCACGCGGCCTGGCCCGGGCTTCCCAGGCCTGGCTGGCTGCACTGCCCCCCACCCCCGGGGGTCTGACTTAGCAGGTCTTAGGGGTGTCGGAGAACCTACTTTTAGCCTGCCCCCAGGTACCCTAAGACCAGGAGGAGGGGTTGGAAGATCCCACTTTGTGCTAATTTCATCTAATCCTTGCCATAGGCCTATTAGAGGTAAGAAAATAGAGCTACAGAGATTGAAGAAAAATTCTCAAGATCACATTAAAAGTATATTTACCATTCAAACCCAGGGCCACGTGGCTTCAGAGCCCTTGCTCTGAAACCCGTGCCAACATTCCACTTCCAGGCCAGGATGGTGAGCACCCAAGCCCCAGAGAACCCGTGGGGGTTCCAGAAGCAGGCCCAGGCCTGGGTGGACAGGCAGTGCCAGGATGACTGACACTGCACAACCTCAGCCCAGGACACCTGCAGCACACCTGACATCCGCACGACCTAGCCCAGGACACCGATGTCCACAACCTAGCCCAGCACACCTGACACCCATACAACCTCAGCCTAGCACACCTGACACCACATGACCTCAGCCCAGGACACCCGCAGCCCAGGACACCGGACACCCACACAACCTCAGCCTAGCACACCTGACACCACATGACCTCAGCCCAGGACACCCACAGCCCAGGACACCGGACACCCACACAACCTCAGCCTAGCACACCTGACACCACATGACCTCAGCCCAGGACACCTGCAGCCCAGGACACCCAACAGTGCCCCATGGCAGAGCAGAGGTGATGCTCAGAGCACTAACAGCTTCGGGATACCAGTCACCCGCTGGGGCTGCCCACGTTGGGCTGGAACAGCCCCCTCCAAGCTCCCCCATGCCAGGTATTTGGCTCCCCTGGTGCCAGATTATGCCGGATTATGAGGTGATATTGGTGGGCGGGGATGCCCAAGAGAGGGGCTCATGCAGCACTACTACAAACTGGTGTGGGAGGATTTCCATATTTCAATATTGTTACCACAAATTAGGGCTCCACAGCGCCGGCTGCTGACTCCCAGCCATTCTTAGATCAAACTTCTAGGCTCTTAGTATAATAAAACACAAGTGACAGAAGTGTCCCCAGAGATCCCCCACAGTGTGCGGCTGGCGTTACAAGTGGATCCCAAGTCTCTTCATCCCCAAAGTGCCATTTGACCAGGGGTGCCCCTCACAGCAGCCTGCAGCTTCCCTTTTCCTCGCCTCCATCCTCAGCCTTCCCAGGCCATCCCTTCCTAACACCAATCCACAACACTACGTGTCGCTCAGGTCCCCATGTCTTGGCTCAATAGGTGACTCCATAACAAAAGCATTGCGTCTTTAAAGGTGCCGTCATTTCCTCTCCGTGTGTGCCGGCAAAACAGGCTTGGAGGCTGGGATCAGGGCCTGGGAACAGATGGGCCGAGTCGGGGGCAGGCGGGGGCAGGCAGGGGCAGGTGGGGTATGCCCAGCAAGAGCAGGGGACGCTTACGTAAGAGGAAAGCTGTCCTGGGAGCCCCAGGAGGGTCCTGGCTCAGGGCCCTGCATGTTGCCGGCTGAGAGAGATGGCTGGTGGGTGGGAAGTGTCACCTGAGCCCCTTGCTCTGTCCACAGGCCTAAGTAAAAGGAGACCCAGCACTACCTGCCATAACTCACAGTGGCTAAGGGCACGACGTTGGAGCCTGTGCCTGGGGCAGACCGTGATCACGCTACTGAAACCACTGTGCTCTGCCTTCTTCTGCTGTGGAAGGGAGGAGGTGACAGCACCTGTCTCCTGTCAGCATTCTGAGGATAAAGTGGGTGTGTATATGCACAGGACTTAGCTCAGGATCTGGCACAGGGGCAAGCACAGTGCAAGCACCTGTCCTAACTCTGCACTGTTTCCCATCATTACTATTTATTCTTCTTCTTCTCATTCCTGTCCTTGGCTAATGGGGTGTGATGGCTGGAACAGGGACAAGGTGCAGGCATTGGAAGAGAAGCACACTTGCTCTGGCCTCTGTGTGTGATCATGAATTGCTGTTTCTGAGATTCAGCCTCTGGATAGTGCTTCTGTGCACTAACCAGTCTCCACAAGCCTAATAACCAATCTTCAGATGACTAGTAACCAGTCTCCAGATGGCTAGTAACTGATTGTAACCAATTGTCAGATGGCTAGTAACCAGTCTTCAGATGATCAGTAACCACATGATGACCAGTAGCCAATCTCCAGACAACTACTAACCAGTCTCCAGATGACTAACTAACCAGTCTCCAGATGGCTAGTAACCAGTCTCCGAATGACTTGTAACCAGTCTCCAGATGGCTAGTAGCCAGTCTCCAGATGACTATTAACTAGTCTTCAGATGACTAGTAATTAACCAGTCTCCAAATAACTAGTAACCCACTGCCACATGATGAGTAACCCATTGCCAGATGACGAGTAACCAGTCTCCAAATGACTAGTATCCCGGTCTCCAGATGGCTAGTAACCAATTTCCAGATGACTAGTAACCAGTCTCCAGATGACTAATAACCAGTCTCCAGATGGCTAATAACCAGTTTCCCGATGACTAGTAACCAATCTCCAGATGACTAGTAACTAGTCTTCAGATGACTAGTAACTGGTCTCCAGATGGCTCCCCAAGAGACCACACCTTCAGTGTCATGCCTGGGAAGCTCCCTCAACACTGAGCTGCCTGTCCCTATGTCACCAATAGCACCACGGTGGTGACCCATGTCACTTCAGAGATCAGAAGCCTTGAAGCATCCACCTGGATGTCTGGGAACGCACAGTCCAGCCCACGCTGATGAGAGAAGTGGGCAGAGCAATGCTGGTCAACTCCCAGCCCTTCCCTTCAGTGCAGCCCAGCCGACATGGGGAAGGGCTAGCTCACATCTTCCAGCCTAGGAGACAAGGATGGCCTGGACAGGTCATGCGACCCCGTGGGGTCATCTCAGTCACCTCCAGTCAGGGAAGCTGTGCTCACTGGGGCCAGAGAGTTTTGGCACAGGCTCGGGCAGCCCCTGCTGTGCCCCGTCCACAGGATCCTGAGCATAGCAAAATGGTTCTTGTTTTAGGGAATTGAGTTTTGGAGTATGTGTTCCCTATTTAGCAATATATATACGAAAAATATCCTGGTGTTCAGGCCACCATGCCCATGGAAGAGGGCAAGCCCTTCATATGTGTATGGCTAGAAAAGGAATCTCATCGATTTCTGCCCCAGCCCTCTGCAGGCCCCACAGGTGGGAGGAGGTGACAGCTGTTGTTCTTGAGCCTCTTCCCCACAAGCTTGTCCTCACCAGGCCTGGTCTCCAGGGATAGTGCCTAGCCCGTGGCACAACTCTCTACTTCCCCACGCTGGACTGAGGCTCCTCCCCCAAGTGCCCTGTTTCCCCATCTTGGTCCCTGCAATCATGCCTTGCCATGGCTGTGGGCCCAGGACCCTCTGGTTGCTTTCCACAGTGCTGTGCAGGGAGCAGTGGAAGCATTGAAGAATGGAGATTGCTGGGGCCCCACCCCGGACCAACAGGGTCCACTTTAGGACGCCCCCCAGGGGACAGACACACATTCAAGTTTGAGCTGCATGGCTCTAGAAACTCCCAGAAACTCACTGCAGCTCAGAGTGTGTTCTGGAAGCTTTGCACCTTGACAGCCACTGCCAGCTTCTGGGTACCTTGCTGGCGTTTGCTGAAGGAGCGGAGAGCCTCAGAAATCCCCCACAGGGCCTTCTGCTGAGAATGACTGTAGCAATAGCTGACATTTGTGGAGCACCTGTTACAGTCTAGAGTATCGGGATCATTCTACTATCATTATCTCCACTGAGAGGAGGAAACCGAGTCACCAAGAAATTAGCCATGTCATCCAAGGCCACAGACAGGAAGTGGCCATCAGAATTCACACCTGGAACGTCCAATCCTGAGAACAATCACCGTGTGTCTTGTGAAAATAGGTCATTCAAAATCGAAGTTGTTGGAGCTGGAAGTTATTTTTGTACCTTAAAAGAATGTAAATTATAGGGCCTGAGTCTCTGTGACAGGCAGCTATAACCTAGAAAGCTGTAAGCTTTTTTTTTTTTTTTTTCTTTTTGAGACGGAGTCTGGCTCTGTTGCCCAGTCTGGAGTGCAGTGATGCGATCTCGGCTCACTGCAAGCTCCGCCTCCTGGGTTCCCGCCATTCTCCTGCCTCAGCCTCCCAAGTAGCTGGGACTACAGGTGCCCACCACCACGCCCAGCTAATTTTTTGTATTTTTAGTAGAGACAGGGTTTCACCACATTAGCCAAGATGGTCTCAATCTCCTGACCTCGTGATCTGCCCGCCTTGGCCTTCCAAAGTGCTGGGATTACAGGCGTGAACCACCGCGCCCAGTCAGAAAGCTATAAGCTTTTGCTTCTCTGATGACAGAGAAGCCTTTTTCCTTCACCTGCATTGTTTTCTAAAATGTTGTCAGTGGCCTAAGGCAGGGGTCCCCAACCCCTGGGCCACAGACCCACACTGGACATCCCAAAACCATCCCCCACCCCATCCTGGGAAAAATTGTTTTCCACAAAACCCATCACTGCTGCCAAAAAGACTGGGGACCACTGGCCTACGGGCACCAGGTAAGACCCTCTTTCCTCTCCACTGTTGACTTTTATTATAGATGAAACTTCCTCTTCCCTTTCTCACACAGACTTCATGCCTATCACGTGCCTTAAGATGGAATGCTAAGTACACTCTTAAATTGGAAAGGAAATGAAAACCAGCTATAAGGAAAAGAAAACAAGCCAACAGAAAAGAAAATGGACAGTACTTCATTCATTTGCTGTAATTTGTAAACCAGCCTTGGGTAGAAATCTTGGGATCCCAAACTCATTAAGCCAAAGGGAAAAGTCATCTGGGAACTGGGTCACGCAAGCCTGCCTCCCCTTTTTGGTTCCTAAATAAGATGGCTACAAGATGAAAAGCTACACACCTTTCCCACATTTTGCCAACAAGGAAATTCCTAGTGAGCTTCAAGATATTTGCGCTAAAGCACATCTGTGAAAATTCACCGTAGCAATGTAAATGGATAGCTTATCTTCGCAGATGCCGTCACCCCTCTGCCCACCTGGCGTGAATGTAGAGCTGACTGTTCCCCTGCCCCATTTGCCTGTGTTATCTCATGTAAAAGGGCAGATTTCCTGCTTGATCCGTCCATGTTACGTTCTGTAAAAATGCTGATTCTGAGCCAGACAATGGCGTGAATGACTATTTTCTCCCTACCTCCTCTTACGTGAGAATTGTGTGCTTCCCAACGTCCTGCTCTTTCCCCTTTAGATTTGGAACCCTCAAAATCATCTTTGGAGAAAGGCATAGACCTGTCTCCCGTGCACACATCCTTAACTTTGGCAAATAAACCTCCTAAAATGATTGAGATTTGTCTCGTCACTTTTCTCAACTGACACCCTCGAGGACTCTAACTGGGGCTGTTAATGGTCAAGCTAAAATAATCAAAAGGCTTGGGATCCAGTTAGAAGAGTTTACTCAGGTGTAAAGCATGAGGGCAGCTGTCCGGGGCATACAGACACAGAAGAATGGGTCACCAGTGCTCCTGGCGTCGAGAAAGGGAAGGATCATGTACAGAGGGAAAACGCAGGTGAATTCCATTTACCATGGAAAGGCTGACGCACAGATCTAAGATTTAGTTGGCTACTGTTGCTTACACTCTCCGGGACTGCTTAACATTTCATTGTAAAGAGGTCACAATCACAAGGGTCTCTGGCTCCAACATCATTTAGTCTAGGTGTGAATGAAGAATGAGGAGGGCAGAAATCACCTGGTGAGCATCATGCAGCCCCCAGGGACAAAAATTCCTTATCCGAGGAATTTAGAAGTAATTAGACTTCCCCCCTAGTATCTAAAGGCACCTGGTTCCAGACCTCTTCTCAACTTAAAACGTGTGAGTAACTAGAATTTCTATGCATCTCTGGAACGCATGCATGCATGCCAAAACATATTGTGCAACCCTTACTGACACTGAGTCACCAAAATGTCTACAAATGTAATAATTTATCCTGCAAATCACCCTTCAGCTCCTGCTTTAAGGTCCATAAATACCCCTAAGGAAAAATCCACCGCGGCGTGCTCAGTCCTGTCCAGCTGAAGCACCCACTGCACTCTCCAGCAGCGTTCTTTCTTTCTAACAAAACTTTCCTTTGGCCAGGTGCAGTGGCTTACGCCTGTAATCCCAACATTTTGGGAGGCCGAGGCGGGTGGATCACGAGGTCAGGAGATCAAGACCAGCCTGGCCAACGTGGTGAAACCCCGTCTCTAATCAAAGTACAAAAATTAGCCGGGTGTGGTGGCACGTGCCTGTAATCCCAGCTACTCAGGCTGAGGCAGGAGAATCACTTGCACCTGGGAGGTGGAGGTTGCAGTGAGCAGAGATCATGCCGCTACACTCCAGCCTGGGTGACAGAGCAAGA